GATGCAGATGTTTAATTAATCGGACTGTACGTTAGAACTGCGCAACTAGTAGTCGGAGACATCGAGTACAAGTATCGATTACGGATGAATACAAGTACGAATACGAGTACGAATACAAGGGATAAATAGGAGGGGACGGCTGAACTCGACCCTTTTACCCCTTTCCTTTTTCGATCGCTCGCTCTCCTTGATCGCTCGCTTTAGATCAGTCAGTCTGTGTGACATATCAAGTTGGAGATAGAACGGGTTAGCCGTATTGTGTTAAGAAGGACAATAGACATGTGGATTCAGTTATATGAAGCCTAGTGAGGACTGTTAGGGGTCAGTTGATTCAGACTATTATTGTGAAGCATTCCTGTTGATTCATTGTGTTATTTTGAAGCATTTCTTGATTCATGTAATAAAAGGATCAATAGCGAACCTGCATCTTCGAGTATTTCTACTGTAGTCGATGTTGTGTAGCATGAGTGGTTAAACTCGTTACATTTGGCACTACAGGCAAATAATCTCGTAACATGTGGCGTTGCGAGCAGGGTAACTGTTCGCTCGTTACAATTGGCGTTGTCGGCAGGATACCTGTTCGCTCGTTACATATATATATATATATATAACACGCTCTCATTCGTGTATTTATTTGAGACGTTTGCCTTGTTTTCTAGAACAGTGGTTATTTAACAATGTCGGCACTTTATTTATTTTTTTATATTAGAGCGCTAATTTGTCAATACAACAACAGATTCGAGCCAGCTTTGTTGTTGGAGCGCTAGTTTGTCTACACTACCACCGATACGAGCCAGCTTAGTTGTTGAGGCGCTATCTATTCGCTTCTTGTAAGGCTAAGAGCGGGAGGGGAGGTCTGAGAAAGGAACTTAAAAGGGACAACAAAGCACCAAATTTGGGATGGTCTCAAAAAGCCGTCTTAATGTCTAGCAGCCGCTCGCGCAATTGATGTTTTTTCAAAAGAATTTTGCTGACAACAGCGTGTGTTTGATTGTAGGAAAAAGAATATACAAGAGCGTGGGATGGTGTCTATAGAATAAGGATATTCCAAACGCAGCTACAGTATTCTTTTTTTTTCAAAATAACCATCAGGTCAAAAATGGAAGAAAATTAATTTTAACTATAAAAAAATGATTATGGGCGGCTGTGGGCCCCCTAAACGGCGTGTGGGTGAACACTTGAAATTTTCAAGGGGGTGGGCGGACTAAAATTTCCAGGGATGGGGTGGGGAGACACTAGTAAAAGTATATTCTATATAATATTAATTCTATTTCATTGGGGGGGGGGGTGGAGGGGAATAAGGCATTTTTCGGGGGTGAGGGGGGGCGGACTAAATAAATTTCCGGCGGGGGGGGGGGGGGGGCGGGGACACTGGTGTAAAAGTATGTTTTCTATATAAATTCCATTTCGTTTGGGGGGGTAGACTTTTTCAGGGCGGGGGGCTCTGCTAGGTCAATTGCTAAGGTTAAGGATAGGAATGGTGATTTGGTTACGGATAGTGTCAATGACAGCTTTTGATTAGGGTTGAGATTAGGCTGGGCATAAATAGCATTGAGGATAGATCGATGCCTGAAAGAAACCCTGGTTTGAATAAGTTGCACTTGGAAACTGAGCTTAATTCGATGGAGGTGCAAACCGAATCTTGAGGTAATTCACCCTTGCACCCGCTCACTCTATATTAATTTGTGGACTATTTAGATCAATTTAAGTCATTTGATTTTTTTAAGCACCTGTATACGCAGTGATCTTACATTTCGTATATCATCATCTTTTCCCGTTCGTGCCTAAGCCACATGGGGCAGATGAAGTGGAGTCCATCTGTTTCAATGACATTGGCATATGAAGGGATAGTGTGGGATGGGCGTGGTCGGGTAGGTAAAGCTCGTGGTTTATAAAGTCCCGAGTTCGAATCCCCGGGCAGATGTGGCTCGATAGCTGGGGACAGCAGCCCGTCTATGACTGAAAACTCAAAAGTAAAAATAAAACTGCTGCCTTGTAGTTTGTTCTTGGTTGGACAAAGGCTATGGAAGCAAATCCAGAAAGAATAGCGGGCTGAGACATAATCCCTTCTAGCATAACAATTAAGAACGAAGAAGAAGCATACACATGGAAGTAATAACCAGTGATTATTGCTCTGATAGACTTCCAGAACAAATTCAACCCTTGTCAGGTTATTTTGGCGCCCGTGCGTCATGGATTCCATTCCGGGCGATTTTATACTATCTTGTGCTAAAGTCGGCGAGAATATTGCTTCTAATAATACCATTAGAGAGGGAGCAAAACATAAGGTACTCTGATACCTGACTGTAATGACTTAAAGATCATTCATTTGGTTTTGGGGCATCACCTCCTGGTCAATTCCCCCCCCCCCCCCCCCCGGTCATTACACCCCAGATAAATTATGTAAACTTTTCCACTTCTTCCATCCAGCGCTCTTCCACCTATCTCAACTCTCTCAATGTGTTGAGTTTATTCTTAATATTTGAGCCTTTTTAAATTTCTCGTATATACGAAGTATAGAGAAAGTATTGTAATCGTGCAAAAAAAAAAATCGAGATTTTTACAAATCTCGACGTTTTACACATCACTGATACGGAAAAACATAATTTTGCAATCTTGTCCGTATGTCTGTGTGTGTATTTGTGTGTGTCTGTGTGTAAACACGATAACTTGAGTACCGTTACAGCTCGGTTGATGAAATTTCATATATAAGTATTTTATCAAAATCGTAGATCCTGATCAACTTTTGAGCGATTTCCGATAACCGGAAGTGGTACTTTTTCTACTTTGAATTTTTAAAAAGCCTATAACTTGAGTACTATTTCAGATAGATAAATGAAATTTCCCATGTAAGTAAAAGATTTCATTCTCTACCTTCTGTCAAATTTTGAGTAATTTCCGTTTAAAGAAGTGGTCCTACCCAGTACTACCCACGAGTCAATGTCTGATGCCGCTCATGGTTTGCGCTAATGAATATTGCTGCATCTTACAATTAAAAAAAAACAACCTGGTGTGTAGTTTCAATAAGATCTGCTCTTTTTTTTTTGTATGGTGGTCGTGTTCGGGAGAAGGTTTGGTGGCAGCCTGGTTAAAATCATATTTTGTGTCCTTGGTATTTCACCATTTCTTCGTGCAATAGACAACCTATGTTTGTTGAAACATTAAAGTCTGCTTTTTCTGCATCCGACCTATATCAGCTTTTCCCATTACTTTGCATATTAAGTAGTGGTATAAGCTTAATGGACTCACAAAGTTGTCTCAAGTTGAGTTACAATTATTGGCGCTATAGTATCGCTATAGGTTTACACTTTACAGGGTCAATATTTTTTGTCATAACAACAATAATTTAGCGTTTTATAAAATCGTTATGCAATATAGCCTCCTCCCTAGGCCTATATATGTAACCTATGCTACATTATATCGCTTCCCCAGAGCTAGATTGTTCTTACTTCATTTTTCATCAAATACATGTAGGACTTATACAGGGATTAAAGGGTCGTCCATCAACTACGTCACACTCCTGGGAGGTGTATGTATGTGGAACATTTGTGACGATGGAGAGGGGAGGAATGCTCAGAAAGTGTGACGACACACTTTGTCATTAAAAAGTAAAGTTATAAACCGATATTTATTTTGTAGTTGTAGTTGTTTTGCTGTTTAATTTTTTTTAAAATGTTTTTTAAAATAGTAAATGTCAATTAAAATTGATCAGTAGGCCTTCACTCAATGTTGACCGAGCTAAATAAAAATGTTAGAAAGAAGTCGCTTTTTTAAAATAAATGCCTTTCTAGGTGGGTGGTGGTGGTATGCTGAGGTGTGACGTCATTTTAATGTGAGGGGTCTGGCTTTTTGGACGATGGGAGTAGGGGCGGGGGGGGGGGATACATCGTTTTAAAAATAATTACGTCGTTTATTGATCACCGCTAATGATGCTGGGCTCTGTGTTTTTTTTTTTAACATAAACGAACTCTGCTCTTTAAATGTTGCGTATACATGGTGTACTAAGAATTAATGAACAGTTATTGGAATATAAGGATCGTGTCTCAAACAAAACCTTGTTGCAGTTTAAAAAGCCAGACCACCCCCTCTGGTGTCAAACTTCCTACTACCCCCCCCCCCCCTTAAAATTGCATTTTTTTTAAAACAATTTTTTTTTCTAAAATATTGACTGATCTCGGTCAACATAGGGTAATTTACTCAAAATCTATTACAATTTATTACAACAGTTTTGTTAATTACATAAGCACAAAATAGCGGCTAAAATTCAGTTTCTATCTCCCCCCCCCCCCCCCCACGTATCGCCACAAAATTCGGATCTCTCTACGAGTGTGACGTCATTTATGGACGACCTCTAAAAGAATACGATTAATGTTATATCGACGTGCGGCGCTCTGTTTACTTATACTTATTATAGTATCCAAATAATTTACTGTAATGTATGTCTATAGATCTAGTGTAGATCAATACAGATGCATTTCTAGACAATAATGTTTTGTGTCGGCACAAATAAACATTGGTCTTTTGAAATTGCTATCTAGTCTAGGTCTACTATTCGGCTAATGTATAATGCCGTCTTGTGAGGTCTTTGCTCAATAGTTTTATCTGCTACTATTTAAACATGTGATAATCACATTGCACATGTAAGACATTTTTTTAAAAATGCTGCCTTTGTCTAAGTCAAGTTTAATATTTAGCCTAGCTAGATTTAGCTGATGCCTGGGCCTAACCGAACTTAATCGAAAAGAACAAGAGCGGTGATGTCAATGAAGTTTAAAAAAACACAGCGATTATGCAACATTTAAACCCTCGTTTGCATCCGTAATCTCAAATAGGATGATTATTTTTGGCTTTCTATGTAATAAAAATAATAACTCTATCCATAAATATAATACATTAGATATAATGATATTGTAAACTTGAAATAATGTATAACAAATCCACTGAAAATAGGGAGGAATAACATTATTAGAAGAGCATACGCCACTTTCTACTTCAGTAGCGCCCTCTCGTGCCCAATCAATGGAGTGCGCACCTGTCAGTGCTTCGGATTCAGGCCGGCGTCTTTGTTCCAACTTCGCTTAAGTAATCTTTTATTCTTCGATAAATCCAAATGATGGCACCACAGAAAAGGTCTGCTGAAGAAGCAGAATCCCTGTTGGTTGGTGTAAAGTGTATTATTTGTGATATTGAAGGAACAACAACCCCAATATCATTCGTGGAGGTAAGTCAGCAAAGCCGTCACTTCTTCCACCATCAGAGAAATGAACGCGTTTCTTCATCAAATTAAGATGCCCCACTTTTTAATAACGAGATTTTAACGTGTAATTAGTATACTAATATAAGTTGGATTGACATTAAACCGCAGATGAATTTTATTCTATAATTTGTGATAGATTAAAAACCGGCAGCGTGTTTAGCGTGAAGAAAAACGCCGAGATCCTTAAGCCACATTCTCATCAGCAGGCATGAACCGGGTGTTTTTTTCCCTAATATCGCACTGGGTTTAAATTCAGGATGTTGAATCGATCAGGCTTTTATAATTGAATTAGTCAAAATATTAAGTGAGCTAGTCTGTGCTGTGTAGTTTTAACTTGCTTGTACACGTTTTTATATATCTACTTCTTATTGTTTATGTAAACACGCATGTTTGTATCATTTGAACGCGTGTCGGTCAAAGACCTTGCATTACTACACGTTACACACGTTTGTTGATTCATCGATTTTGGCGTTATGAACGTCATGCGTCCATTTTTTTTCAGCTTACGAGATTCGGCAATTTATTTCCTGTTTTAGCCATTTTATTGTTGTAGCAATCAAAATGTAGTATCTGCTTTTAAGATTAAACGTGAATATTTATCATTTCAATTTGACACCGGCTTATTTAAAGGAGGCCGCCTATGCTTTGATTTAGGTCACGTGACAGAAATGCCTTGTAACTGGAATATACCGGATTGGGAACTATTAATTAGTTGCAAAGTAGGGGTGGCAGCTTAAAATGTTTATTTTTAGTTGCTCTTCTTAGCATTGTAAAAATATATCACTTTTACCCAGTAGGCCTATACATTGAATATATTCACTAGGTGCTACATTATTTTTGACTTTATTCATTAAATCATTAGGCTTACCCAATTGAAAAAATAATCGAAGTAAATGTAGCCTGCTTATTATTTTTGAAAATGTGACCCAAAAATGTTTTGCTAGGCTCAACCAACAGTCATAAAATGGACTGATCTAAAAATTAGTAAACATAGTCATAGGGGCTGTAGGCCTACTGTACTAGTTGTTGTGAGTAGTGAATACTAATATTATAATAGAGGTTGGTGTAAACAATTGTGTAGGTTTGGATCTATGTCCTATTGTAAGATATGACTTGGGTTAGGTTATGTAGGCTATTTAATAATAATATTAAATTTAGGCCTACTGTGACTATTAAACACCAACACACATTTTCAGTTCTAGTGGCCTATAAATTATAACTTTATTATAAGCTACTGGATTTCACTGAAATGTATAGCATCATCACCCTAATAACTATAACCTAATGCTAATACTAATAGTAACATCACAGCAGTACCATTAGTAAAAAGAGTAAAATACTGTTGGCCTGTAGTGTATAGTATTGTCCTGTAAGCCTATTTACATGAAACTTATTTGAACATATATAGATAATTTAAATACTCTTAATTTATATTTTATAGACGTATAGGCTATTATATTTATTCATATATTTTTATTGTTAAAATGTCATCTTTTACAGGCCTGTATTATACTGCTGTTTAAAGTAGGCAACTTCCTTAATACTCTATTTTTTTCCTTTAAATACAGGACACACTCTTTCCTTATGTCAAAAGCAACATAGAAACATTTTTGAATAAAAACTTCGAAAATGCTGACTTACAGAAAGCTGTAGCTGCATTAAGAGATCAGGTAAATACTGGATGTACTATTTTAATCATTGGAAATAGCAACTACCTAATTATTCCAGAAATATTTGTTCTTTTAATTGTTTAATTATGAAAATGTTTCTATTTAGGCTGCAAAAGAAAAAGAAGATAATGTAGATGGTGTTGTTGAAATTCCTAGTGGTGATGCTAGCAAAGAAGAAGTAGTTAAAGCCGTATCAGAAAATGTTAGGTGGCAGATGGATAATAACAGAAAAACAACCGAACTCAAAGCACTACAGGGAATGATATGGAAAGAAGGCTATGAATCCACAGAACTTAGAGGAGAGTATGTACAATGCATTGTATTTAGATTAATTTTATTTCCATTTAAATTTATTGGTTTTTAATCTTATTTATTACATTAAAATTTAGTTGTAGATTGTTGTGAAACAGATTTGTTCTTTGTTATTAAAAATGTTTTTATTTAAATAATTAAAATTATGAAAGTGGATTTTTAAAAAAAAACTGCATTAACTCCTAAGGATTGTTCCAATTGCATATTCGTTTTATTTTTAAGTTAAAATAAAACTGATATCTATTTTTTTTTGTATTATGCACAATTAGGTTGTTTGAAGATGTCGGTCCAATGCTGAAGATGTTAGCCGAAGAAGGGTTTCAGTTGTATGTCTTTTCCTCTGGCAGTGTTGAGGCACAAAAGCTTTTGTTTACAAATTCCGCACAAGGAGATCTTTCAGATGTAAGTATTTAGTAATGAGTAGGCATGTATCTATATAATTACATCTTTATTTGATTATTTTCTCATCATTTTAAACACTCTTTGCATTGTCGTGAGATATTTTCTTAAAAATTGACTTGTAAGCTATTATTTTTCAAATCAATAGCTGAAGTATTACCCCAAAAATTTTGTGAAATTATGGGTTTAATTTTTAGTTTAATAACAAGTCAAGATTGTTGACAACATAATTTAGAGAAAAAAAATGTAGATAATAATATATGAAGGAATATGTTTAAGTAAATTTAAAACTTGTATTTTCTAATTGTAAAAATTGTTTTATCAAATATTTTAGCTGTAAATATAACTGTTTTCTTTCAGGTCTTTTCCGGATATTTTGATACAACAACAGGGAGCAAAACAGATAGTGCAAGTTACAAGAAGATTGCTACAGAAATCCATAGTGATCCTAAAGACATCTTGTTTCTCACAGATCTTCCTGAAGGTAACCACTCATTTTTTTTTATTATAATGCCTAAATTATACCCTGGACTTCTACTAGTTAAAGTTTCTTAATAACGACATGTAGTAAATGTAAATGTTTTAAAAATTTCATGTTATTTCAGAGGCAGAGGCAGCTGTTGCAGCAGGTTTGCGCAGTGCGCTGGTTATAAGGCCAGGTAATGCAGAATTAACAGATGAGCATTTACAGAACTTTGCCTGTATTGAGAGGTTTGATGAGTTATATGGAGATGAAGATGATGATGACGACATCAAGAGGTTTGCTGGTGACAATGGAGAGGCAGACGATGATGAAGATGATGATGATGATGAGGATGATGAAGAGGTTGAAGGGGAAGACGATGATGGCGAAGATGCTTGAAAAAGTTCATGTTTGATTTATCATTGGCATGTAAGTAGTCAGTTGTTGAAAAGTCAGCAAGTGAGAGGTGAATGTAAGTGGCATAAAAACAAAATTTCCCCACTCCCCCTCTTTTTTCTTCTTCTGAAAAATTCCTTTTCTATCATTTTTAGGCAATATAGTTAGCTTTATCAGAACATTTGATTGAAGTAAGTAAAGCTGGATAACAAGTCTACGCTGTAAAACCTCTTAATCAATTATTTCTGCAAGTTAACATTTCTTTTTAAATCCCTCATGCAATTTATAGGGTTTAAGCATTTTTTTCCTAGTTAGTTTGAAAGAGATTTTTTTTTCCTTTATAAGTGTTGTGTATTTTATTGTACGACCTATTCTATAACAGCGAGTTTAAAAGGAAGTGCGCTAATTTAAATAGTAAATTTGACTAGGGAACTAGCAGTTTGAAATATGATGTACATATTTTGAATTAAAGACAGATGAAATTCAGTGGAATTATAGTTATGGTTCTTGCAGAAACTTGAAATTGTAAATTTGCAATCGTTATGTGTACATCAGTTTTGTGCAATTATATTTGATATGTGGTGCTTTATGTTTGAAGATAGTTCATAACTGATTGGCAGCTCCTCTTATTTCTATATTCTGATGATAAAATTTTTATCCAGTTTTTACTTTTTGTAACTTACTAATCATTCATCTCAGCATTTTTTTATAAGAAAAAACATGCTGCCAAAGTAGGTGTGTGTGTGTGTGTGTTTTTATTTTTTTATTTCTTGTTTGAAATCTAGTTATGTAAATAAAATGAGTAGTGGTGTAGAAAACACTGTCTTAATGTCTTTTTAAACTTTTTTTTTTAAATACACAATTTATGTGTGAAATATGTTGTCATATCAGATGAAATACAATATTTCATGAAATGAATAGGTTATTAATAAGGCAGTAAATTTTAGTTTTTAAAACAATCTAGAAATTTTTTTTGTTTACAAGTCTCATGTATACATTATTTGAATCACCTTGTCTCAAAAATATGCATTTTGTGTATGCTTGAATGGAATGCTGGAGTCAGGTTTATTGTGCACCGATGGCCAACTTCAAATCATTCAATTTACTTTTACTTTTCCTGTAATCAAAATTGTTTTTATGATTGTTTAGCAAAACATTTTAATGTACAAATGTTTTATCACCACACTGACTTTTTAAAAAGTTGATTTTTACAAAAAAAAAAAGACTTTTTTTAAAATGACCACCATTTGAATTTTGTTTTTTTAAAACTATCTCAATTCTTTTATATATACATGTTGTGTTCATTAAGATATTAACAGTATCTTTCATACAAGTAATGTTTATTTTTCCAATGCTGGTTAATGCTAGAGAATAAACTTTTGTTTTAGAATAACACTAGACTTTCTCCTATGCATCCTTGTTTTAAAGGACATGGATCTCCTCTGCTTACTGTATCCTAAAGAAACTGGTTTCTTTAGGCAGCAAGTCCTTGATCTTAGTTTTTACCCCATAGGATATTGTTTCAGTCAGTGTAGTTTGTTGTAAACTGAGTATGCATAGGGACAGGGGTTGGATCCTGATCCCTCCAAATTATCACACAATTTGTCATGTTGGTATCACATGTTAAAGGAGGTTAAAGCTCTTTGTTTTTGTAAACGTTATTTCCTTCTGTTGTAATGACATGAACAAATTATGTAGTTTCATACAAAATGGTGTTTACTTTTTTCTTTTATCCAGTTCTTCTTTAAATTGTGTGTTTATGTAGTTAAATTTCTCTGCAGCAATAACTTTACTCTAGAACTAAGTAAAAATAATTTAGTATTCATTCCAGATGCTTGGGTTACTGACAGAAAGTTATTGGTTCTTATCCAATAAACTATCAGTACACTATTAAAATTGTTGAATCTGTATGGATTTTACCAAAGATTTTCACAAATAAAGACAGAACACATCTGAATATGATTGACCAAATTTAATAAATAATCAGGATTCAACAAAAGCTTAGAAATGTATTTTGCTGTACATGAACCCAGATTACTCCAAAAAGTACATGTAATTTAAGCCCCTTACCATTAGGGGAAATTTTGTTTGCATTAGCTGTTGATTCAGTAATAGCAGACCCAGACAAGCAAGTACAATACACTAATATAATGTATGATAGTTAAGTGTACAGTAAGATCAAGCATTACATTATAGCCTTCATTCGTCAATACAGGTATTTCAATTCACACACTGATCTGGTGCCATACTAATAAGTTTGTTAGAAATGGTTAGTCCGTTTTACTTATCACTAAACCAGGTTTTTTTTTAAAGATTGTCCAAATATTTTTTTTATAATATATAAAAATTGTATTCACAAGACACAGTTTGGTTATAACAAAGTTCTACTGTGGTACAAGCATATTTTAGAGGGACTGAAAAAAGGGGTATAAACAAACCTTAAAATGTTTTGGACAATTTTATAAGATGTTCAAGCATTGATTTATTTTCTGAAGTTTATTAAAATATTGAGTCACAATTATTTTTTTGTTGCAATAATCGTAATTTAAAAAAAATAATAATTAAAATATAGATTTATTATTAGATTGTGAACTAATAATTAAATACAGCTCTTGAACTTAATTAAACTAGCAATAGAATTCCGTTAGTAATTTTGAAACCAATTGCATTTGAAATAATTTACAACAAATATTTCCACGCCAAGTCTTGAAAAAATACATTACAAAATATAAATTAAAAAGCCCTGATGTTTGAATTGCACAATAGCTCAACTATGTCTTACCCTTTTTTCAGTCACTTTCATTTTTCTCTCAATTCACGCACAAAAATAATATGCACATAATATTCTAGTGGTGATAACACTGGCAGTTAAGCTGGACAAAAAAAAGTTGCCACTAAATGCAACATGGCAAATTGATTTTAAAAAATACAGTTAAGCTAGCATTTGAAAGGTAGGGAGTAAATTATCCAGATTTTGTTTCGCTCAATGTTGGATCCTTTAAAAGAATTTATAAATATGTTTAGAGCAGTAAAGTTGTTTATACATAATCTGGGTGGAACTAATGATTTAGCTTCAGAAAGGTGCAGACTTCATAAATGAGAAAAAGATAATTTTATTCTAAACTTAGACAACTAAACAACACTACATTGAGATAAGCATTACTGTACTGTTAACAAACGTTTACTTGATGGAATGGTTTATAATATGCTTGCAAGGTGAGGCAGCCACATTTCTATGGTAATCATGCTTGAACAAAATGTCACTAAGGCCACTCTCAAAACTCACAAACTTCATTCATTCACTCTTGTTCTAAAAAGCACTAAATTATTGTAATTAATACATATTAATAAAGACACTCAGATGTTTTTTTTTATATTAACTTAATTATTAATGGCATAAAAGGGTTATTAAACAAGTACAGCCTTAGCAGTGATTACATATAGATATTTAACGGCTAAAGAATATATTACTGTTCTACAAGTTACATTTCATAACTGATTAAGTTTTCTTCTCTTTAGGGGTAAATATTACATTTTTTTGCCTCAACATCCACCCAGTAAATATGTATTGGGAAAAGAATCAGCAAGATTTTAAAATAATCTCGCATGAGATTTCATTGCACTCATAAATTTGATGTAGTAATGACTAAATTAAAATTAGTCCCATTTACATTTTTAAAAATGAAACGCACACACATGAAAAGGAGATGTTTTTTTTTATTGGACTTAAATAGCATTTGATAAGCTAATCAGAAAAGTTTATAACTACAATAGATACATCCACATGACAAATTAGAAATTTCATTCAAAGTCAAATTATCTCTAATTTTCCCTACAATATTTTTGAAAATTTTCAACCTGGTAAGAATGCCAGAACATTTTTAAAAATATAGGGTGAACTAACATTGGCTTATGTATATGTACAGCGAAACAAAAAAAAAAAAGCAGCGGTAAATAAAAATTAAGATGAAACTGAGGACAAAACTTGATGAATCTATATAATCACAGCCTTTTAACATCTATATTCAGATTGACAAATACACTAAAAGATTGTTTTTACTCCATCTCTTAATACAATGAGCTAATCCACATGATAAGTTTGATCTCAATGGAAGAGACTATGAAAATCAAAGATGAGATGTACAAGAACATAAATACTATGGGGGTTCCATGTGGTTAATTCATGAATAAGAATTCAACCAAACTCAAACTACATGAACAATTGGAAATTAGAAATTAAAAACTAAAATGGGATAAGTGTGCAAGGTAAGCAATTGTTATTTCCCCCCAGTTAACCCACTCTTCAAAGAAATCCAGCACAAAGCAGTAATTTGATCGGTGAAAAATGAGAATTATACATGTAATGATGTCTATGCATAATGGCAAACACATGTGAACCAACCCTCTGGTCATGCCAGTGACAGTTCTAGACTTGTCAGGAATTAATGCTACACAGAGTATCATTTGGCACAAAACTCCTCTCTAGAAGAAAGAGCGAAACATTTGTGTGTAAAGAGAAGGTCTGATAAATGTCTCTCTATGAGATAGCTCCCAACAAGCCAGAACAAGTCTGTAAAAACATTCTATCACTAACTTTAAATTAACATTATAATGTATTGAGTGAGTTGGAGGTTTTAAATACACGTATGCTTTGGAAATAAGGTAGGTATTTCTAAATAATGTTTTTGTTTTATATGATAATGGAGAAGACACACTCTTGTTTAAGAAAAACACATGTAACAAAATCAAGTAACTTATTCTAATTTTTTTTTTAAATAAGATTTTTTTCAGCATTTTAAGATGTGAATGAGCCCAATCTACTAAGAGAAATGAAATACCGTAAACAAAAAAAAAAAAGATGTTTGTGAGACCAACAATGACATTTAAACCTGAAGACTTTTTTTTTATCAAAGAGAATTAGGTGAAAGTGTTTGGTGCTTGCAGGAGTGGCTTGTTACGATGATGTGACGGAAAGTATCGCCCCATCCAGGCAGTCAGTTCTAATGGATGAAAGACCTTTGGTTGTGTACGGGAGACCTATGTTAAAGCCATGCATGCCTTTACTTTCACACAGATTTTGTTTTTAAAAAGTACTACAACCTAAATTTAAAACGAAGAACACTAAATGATGACTAGATGGAGATGCAGAACTGAGTTGATGATGGCAATTTAAAAAATAGAAAAGCAATAAAAAAGATTAAATGTATCACGTTTTCAAATATTGTCAATGAAGTTAAAGTTTGTCAGAATATTTTCTTTGATGGATAGTATACTTAAACAACCATACCTCACACCACTGTTGGCCATTCATGAATGATACAATTTTTTTTTTTTTAAAAACAGAATAATCAACGTGATTGACCACTATAAAAACTTAGTGAATTTTGCTACACATGATGACTTTTATGTTTCCAAATCACAAGAAAACAAAAAACCTCAAAAAAAAAAAAAGGTTTATAATTATTATGTATTTGTTTATTTTTTTCTACTGTGTAAAAGGAAAGTGGTTGTTGATGGTGTGGTCTACATATTCAATGATTTTTAATGTATTTTCAAAAAATGCTTATAAAAGCATCTTGTTACAGCATACTCAGCATCTCATAAATACCTAGCAGTTGGTCAAAGTAATTTAGTAAACCTTTTGCAAGCAATAAATCAAAAAACATTTACACTTTTTTTTCCAAAAAAAACAAAAGATTTTCTAATAGTAATAAACATTTAACTAGGCCTACATTTTTTTGTGTGAAGTTCCTTATAAAGTACAAAAAGCTAAAATATTTTTCTCTTTCATTCAAGCAGTCTCTCATCACTGTTCAAGCACAATATGATTAAGCTAAACAAAATTCCAAGCTAAAACAATCTTGCAGGCAACTGGTCTGTGCTGGCTGTCCTACCCCGTACACTAAGGTCTCCTGTACTTTGTATACTCAAGTCTCCAACTGATCGCCGACTTTCCTACATTAGAAAACAGTTTTTATTTATGTTTTTGGCAAAATAAATAAATAGTCTTATGAATATTAAATGTGGGATGGCATGGCCAAATGGTAGTGTTTGGCTTCTTGTCCAAAAGTCTCGCGTTCAGATCTGAGTTTGGTCCATTGGCTGTAGCACGCCCCTGAGTCCACATGAAAGGAGGTGCTGACCATACCATCCCTTCATATGCTGAGGTCAAGAACTCTACTTCATCTGCCCAATGGATTGCTAGGTTTAAAGAGGGACTTAACTACGAATATTAAATGTATAAATAATGTTTAACAGTTGAAATAAATATAGGGCATAAAAAATAATAATGTGGTAGTTTATAATATAGATCAAATAATTTTTTATTTTATTTTAAAGAAGTTTTTGATCAACAATTCTGAACATTATCCTGCATCTTTCCTGAACAAGGGCTGTGAACAGTTTTTTTAAGTCCTCCATTTGTTATGTACAATTTATTCCTACAATTGCTTTCTAAGAAAGCCCACAATATTATAGTCCCACTGTGGGTTGATATTTTCAGACACCCATATGTGTAAAACAACTAAGGAACAGAGAGAGGGTTGACTTACATGTAACTTGTCATCACTACTGCTGATTATGTTGAGAACTGACATGGAGCTTGCTCTTTTCATACTAAGAGACAATAAGGGTATATTTAATAAATAACAATAATAATAAATTAACATTAACATGGCAAATTATAAGGTACATTACTAAGAAGCTGCCAAGTTAAACATTATAAAATGCAAAAAAGGCCAACATTTTATAGGGAAAAAAACCAAAACAGCATTTTGAGTATAATGAATATTATTTTTAAGTTGTGTATAAACATTTCTTGTATAGCAATATTAATCTGTTGTTTTATACAATGTAACACTTCAATTAGCTTATGAAAACAAAAGCAGGTTAAGCAATATACACAAGCTTCTCTAAAAAATGTGAATTCATTTTTGAAAAAAAAAATGCAATTAATCATGATAGATTTTTTTTTTTACTATGTAAAGTAATGTTTGTATGAAAGCTAAAAAAAAACAGTCATTAGTCGTAAAAATAGATGGGGACATGATCTAAAAGAAAAACTCTGAAAATTCTGTATCCAATGTTTACAGACATCCCATAGGCCTTTGTTAAAGCTAAGTTTCCTACATTAACAATAAAAAGACAAAAACTTGAACAACAGCACACACACACAAAAAAAAAGGGTCAAAAACCTCTAAATAAAAGATAAATAATCTATTGTGCAAAATCTGTTTTGCTTACAAATGCACAAAATACCAAACTGTATCAGATGTGACATCACCCATTCATTGTGTATGAAATAATAGTGCTGTATGCAAGATAGAGTTTTTAATGACATCCAAATTTGGATAAAAGCCTAGCAGGTGATGTTTATATATTTATGCATGTACAAAGCATGAAATCCAATCAAGTCTAGAGCAGAACTATTTTAAAATCTTTTTGTAGAAAAACTGTTTTTAGTGTAGAAAGTGGTTATAAAAACAATTTTACTATGAGTAAAAATATTCTATTAAAAAAGAAACAACTAGCCCCAACATGCATGTTTGAGTGATACTCATAACAAAAAACCCTCCAAAAGTGCAAAATTATCATTTGTTCCAATCAGATTTAATCGTACATTATATTTAAAAAAGTATATCTTTGTTGTAACAATTGCAAAGCATTTTTAAATATTAATTTTTCAGTATTACATTTGCAGAATCTGTTATTATTTGTAGACTTATGTGAATGATAAATGAACAATTAAAATTTAGTAAGTCATGTTTACAATTAAAAAAAAAACAGAAAAGGATTTTAATGGCACCACATGTTGCTTACGTCATCTTTTATCTTTAATAAAGATAAGATAAAAGCTCTGGTTTTACATATTTTAAAAAGTAAGCGCAATCAATGTTAATAAATATTATAATGCTTAACTGTCTTAGATTCATCAGCTAAATTAAATTAAAACCCCACCCCATTATTTTTTTCTGAATGATTAGGTAATCAGTAGCTGAATATTTGCTACTACATGGTTAGTACGACATAAAACTGAAGCAGAACAAAAACAAGTATCAGGATTTAGGTCTGAGATCTAGCAGTACCAGATTTAAACTGACCTTTCCAGGGCTATCCAGTTTCTGTCAGGACAAGGTGGAAAGTGGATGACAAAAAATAAAATAAAAGAAATTTAGGTACCAGTCAAGGATTTATTCAGTAATTACATGATGAGATGAAACTGCATTTATGCTCAGGAGGAATGACAGGGTTTTTTGCTGAGGTTTTAAAAATATTTTTTTTACAAGCTTGACAGGGTTCTTAGCTGTTGTTTTAAAAACGTTTGGTATAATGACTGGAATATTACATGATGTTTTAAAACACTTTTTGATGATTGATAAGACCCAAATCAATATTTCATGCATCGCTGTAGAAGTTCTTAAAAGTATTTTTAAAATGTTAATTTATTTTTAAAATGTTATTATTTAATTTAAATAGTTAAATTCTACAATATAATTGTTCACTTCTATAATTTAATTTAAGCCATGAATTTTAAAAACTTTTTTTTTGCATGGGAAAGGTGTTAAGCAATATGAATTAAAGCAGTTCTTTTTTTACGTCTAGTTAAGAGCATTGTTTTATAATTCCATTTCTAAAAAGTTGGCTAACGCACACAAGATAAAAATGTATTTGGAAGGGAAAATATTCTTTAGAACCAACCTCTCAGAATAGTAAAGGCTTCGTACATGCCAATTAAAGCTAATGGAAAAAAGTCAACAGTTGTCAAAACATAAATGATGACCATATTTCTTTAAAGAGATGTAGCTTTGATTTATGAACAGATTTTTATGGCACTAAAATGATCTTTAAAAATGTTAGACAAGTAATATCACAATGGTAAAATTTCACATGAGGATATAAAGAATGCTACTTAAATTTACAGTTTTCTTGTTAAATTACTATTAGTAGAAGCTTTGAATTTTGAAAGATTAAAATATTTTTATACAGAGGCAAAAAAAAAGAGTATTTTTGCTGGATTTAAATTTAAAAATATTCAAGTTTATTTTTTTAAATGTGGACAACAATCTTTACAGCCAGAACTTTGAAACAGTAAATACTGGCTTAAGAAAAATCTGGTAATTGACAAACAGCAAGCAGTTGAATATACAATTGCTGAAATTGAGCTAACCCATTTTTCGTGTTAAAACCTATAAATATTAATCGAGCACTTTCTACAACTACAAGATATTACTGCCCTGTATATTTTGTTAGGCTTAAGAAAATAATTCATAACCACTCGTACCTTCCACCTGCTTCGCCTTCAGGGCCCTTTCCTTTGAGTTTCTGTACAAGTTTAGCACTGCTGCGCTTCAACGACGCCCTCAATTTGGTAAATGAACCGCTACGTCGCATCCTTCCACTCTGATAGGTCATTTAGATAACAGGGCAATGTGATTTGAATGATGATGGAGGTTTATGAAATGGTGGATGCGGAGAGTTAGGATGAAAAGTATGACAATGTTCTATTTCTACCATATTCCATTTACTGCTTTTTTTCTGTATTATCATTTTAGCTTTTCTTTGATTCAAAATTGTTTTAATTATTTTATAAGAATCTTTATTTAATGTAATTGAATTTTTTATGCTTAGAGCATTCTTATATTTAGAAATACGATCAGTATTGAACTATTTAAAAACTGGTTAAATCAGGTATGTTATCTAACAAGCATGCAAGTACACAACAACAAGAGGAAAAGTGCAAAAGAAACCTAAGACACCAAAATTGATTTTTTTCTTGAGTAAATTTTTAAAATTCAAAGAATTAATAAAAAAAATTAACTTGTGCAGATTAAGAAACTACTAAATTTACATTTGGATAACAATAATTGTATTTTAAAAATGTGTTTTAAGTTATAAGCATAAAATCTAGTAACTTGTTAACACCAAATTAGTGTTAGTTACATTTGTTATTTCACATCATTTACTCGACCTACATAAAATTACAGGAACACAACACTAAGCACTTAACTACAAAGTATAAGCACTGCCAAGTGGTCTCTCTCTCAGTGAAAATGGTACATTTAGTAAGGCTTATTACTGAAAGCTCCACTAAAAGATACATAAATAGTCTTGTATTAGATAATTTCTTAAATAAGTCAATTGTACACTATGCTTGGTATTTCATCAGTGTTTGCTGGTCTGGACAATTTATTTTAAACTTATTGGAAATGTATCAAACCGCAAATGGATGAAGAAATAGAAAAATAAATGTATGAGAGAAAAAAGATATTTGAAAATGTGTCTTAATTTCCATAACCCTGTCATGCAAACAGCAAACAGTGATCAAATGTGATAGTTTATTTTGACATCTAAAGCAGAATCAAGTTAAACATAAGGATTATAAAAATAATATACCAAAACTTACGTTGATTTTTAAAAAAATTTAAAAGCAGAATGTTATTTTGGTGGGTTTTTTAAAACAACAAATAATTATAAATTGCGCATTTTTTAATCAATTTAAAATCTATAAACTAGGATGTTTATTTTAATTGTCTAGAGTGATTTTATGAACTACTTCTTAGGATTAGAACGAATTTATAAGGGGGTGGTATGTGAAGAGTATGCACTTATAAATTAAAGAAATCTTAATTAAAACTTTTCAGATACCTATTATTACTTATGGCTTTTTCTTTAGAATAAGCTAAGCTTTTTATTATTCAAAAACACATTTATTTATTGAAGCTAATTACTAATTTTAAAAACATTTGTGAAAATAGTTTTTCAGTCTAGTATTTTATTTTTAAAGAATCAGTTTGAACTTTTGTTAAATACATACTAATCAGTATACACAAAAGATTGTTCAAAGGAAAAGAAAGCAAAAGCAAACAACTGTCTTGATAAACTATATTTTCACTGAGAGACAACAGAGAAATCTTTCCAATAAATTATTTAGATTGTTGTTTTTTCCAGTGTACTCGAGAAAATAAAAAATTATTTGCAAATAAAAATAAACATAAATAAACAGTGCTTTATTTATTTTTATTTTTCAATTCATGTTCCAGTATTCCCCAAAACAAAAATAGGATAAAGGTGATTGATAAAAAAAAAAAATGGGAATAAAAAAAGCAGCTTAGAAACTGGACTGGAATAAGCTGTAGTGAGACTGCTGCTGGCTATTGGAAAGTTTCAGGTCGAGGAGGCAGTGCTCATACTCACCCCGTCCCCTAGCCACAATCCACTACTCACATCCTCATTTTCGTTGGGGTCAGAGGGCCCATGCCGAGCAGCCACGCGGCCTCTGTTGGAGGCAGGCGGGGTGTCATTTATACCCAAATCTGTTGTGAGTTTGCCGATCTTCCCACCTGTGGTCAAAGCCTACGCAGCCAGAGGAGGCAACCAAAGAAAGAAAACCTAACTTTATCGGGAGGGATATAGAACTTAAAAAAAAATTTGTCATGCCCTACATTGTTTATCCACAATAACTGGGGGGAAAAAAATGACCTGTAATTCAATTCTATTCTTTTTCTTGTGTTTTGCAGGCATCAGAATTGAACACACACAAAAAATGCTTCAGAATACTAAAAAAGAAACAATCTTAACATGCTGTAGGTAAGAGGGATGGTTGGAATAGTGTGGTAACAATTTAACACAAATGTAGACAATCTTTTGATATCTTTAGTGAAATGCTCTCCATGATTTCAACAGTCTTATAAAAATTCAGGGTTGTCTGTGAACTGGGATGTTATGCAAAATATTTGTTTAAAAAATTCTTTACCCAATGATGTGTGTTCTGATGCCTACTTGCAAAATAAATAAAGGGGAATAAAGGTAACTTAAAAATGTAAATCTTGAAGTTTATAAACAAAACAACATTATACTGGACGAATCTGTAAATGTGGAGAGCCATTTCAAATGTTCATCAAATATAAGTTCATAATTCTCTGGAGAAAGACAACTGTTTTTTTTTAAATAAATAAAAAAAGAAAATTTAACATAACGAAACAAAATGGAACAAAAAAATTAATAGTAAGAAATGTTAACTACATGTTGCTAAACTTTCACACCATGCATATAATACTACAATTAAGCTGCTGTGTCGTGCAAGGAATATGTGTAAGGAAAATGTGTATCATACATCTAGCAAGGCTTTGCAATGTGATTTATTACAAAAAAAAAATTCTAATAAGACTAGCTGTGATGATTTGCCTGGCAGTTTGTCAAAGTTTAGTAATTTTTTTTTTTCACTTTTAGGGTTAAAATTTTAAAATTCCTAATTAAACAAATTCAGTAAAATAGATAAAAATTACTAGCTTAAGAACACACCTATATAAATCTTGAAGAAAGTTTAGCAACAAGCAACACATTTTTAAGAAAAATAACAGCATAAATCAAAGCATAAAAATACCACTAAGTTACCAAGATGTTTAATATGGCATGTACACTCATCACACACGTGCATGAATACACTTATCCACTGTCAATGATAAAGTCACAGGAAGATGATCAGAGACAAATGAAAGAGAAGGACTGTTGGGGGACCAGATCAGAGTGTGTGTGGACCATTAGCAGCATTCACCAAAATGGGGTGTTGTTGAAGGCGCTCGTGCTGTAGTGAACAATCCTATAGTTCAACCAATACCCAATACATTTTATACGACCCTTTTTACTTTATATTAAAATTGCTGTAAAAATCTTATTTGCATGAAATGTGCTCTTTATAAGGTAAAAAAAAAAAAAACATAAATTAAACTTTTAACCATAATATATGTTTAAAAAAAATCAGTTTTCTCTTCTTGCTAACACATTAAAAATAAATTCCAAAATTTAAAGAACCTCAGTGGTTCTGTAAGGGAACTCTCAATGAGCTGATGTGTCATGATGAGTGAATTGATGCTAACATACACCACTAACTTGTCTTATTTCTACATAGATACATCATTCTCTACTTGATTAAAATAACTAGCAAACACGTGTTTACATAATCAATATAAATTGATGTCATCTAAGGAAAAAGCATTCAAAATGGTTAAAACATTATGGAGGTAGTTTCAACAATAAAACTTTTTTATGGGTCTCCTATTCATTCAAAACAGTCATAAAACTCCATTGAATACTGTTCAACAAGGATACATTACACACAGCTTAGAATATTTTGCTGCTTGGCCTTATATAAAACATGATTCAATTCAATGTTTTTATTATAAGTAGCTGCTCAAGGTATATAAAAAAAATTCATTGAGTTAACAAGGATGACACGGCTCAAAATATAGAACTGTACCTCAGCAGTAAAATTGTGCATGTGCTTGACATAAACTATACAAAATGTATTTAAAAATTAATGAAATTAGTTGTCCGCCTTCTATCCCGCAAAAAATTTCCTGAGAATAAAAATAAGGTTCACAGATCTATCAGAAGCAGCTTTCAAAACTGGGTGCAAAACCCTTAGAGCAGCAACTGGCCTCCTGAAATTCCAACAAGCAAATGTTTAGGTACTCACATTTTTCTTGGACTTGATAGCACATTCCTCCAGTGTTTCTGCAGCCTCGTACTTTCCCTGTCTCCGGTAAAGGGCACCAAGATTCTTCAGTGTTGTGGTAACAGTTGGGCTAAGGACAAAATTAGTGCCTTTTTAAAATTCTTTGAAATACTTACTTAAATGAAACAACTGTTGACTACTTTTCTAAGAAGTTACCACTCATATATAAAACAGAAAAAAACAACATACATTTATGTATTAAACCAATTTGAAATACAGGCAGTAAAAAAAAGGCTTACAAATAAATATTAAATTTATTATTCACAAAGTGATAAATTACTCAGCTGATCATCTTTACCTGTCAACTTTGGCATTCTTGTGCCAGCCACCATATTCTGGCAATGGAGGTCCACCTTCTTTACTTTTACCCTAACAATACATTTTTAAATTGTTAAAAATTTTGTTTATCAACAGAGAAATTTTACCAGGTAGATTGATCAAGCACTTAAAAATGCAAAATATTATACCTTATTTTCTTCTCGTTCTTCGGCTCTCATCCATATAGGTTTATTTTCACCTAGGCAAATCAAGTCAGTTTTTAAATGCATTTCTATTTTAAAAGTGGTATATAAAAATTAGCTAACAATCTAAAACATGTAAAACTTTAGTACTCGGATTATTTTTTTTTAACTATTATATTATACAGAAAAGTATCTTACAGTTTCATCTCATAAGCTGTAAAAAATGTCAATGTTTACCTTCAACTTTCCCAAATTCTTTTTCATGTGCTCTTGTTAAAACTTCTTTATATAAAACTTCTGCTTGTTTGTATTTGCCTTGCTTCAAATATGCTGAAGCCTATAAATTATTTATATTATGTCAAAAGCATTTATATTTGAAAGACTGGACAATTTAAAACATTTTTAATTATTAGCATTGATCTAAAATATATTGCTTTGAGGATAAATGTTTAAACAATATTAATTATATACTTTTTTGTGATTAATTTTTTTTTAAATAAAAGAATTGTAAAATTAAACATGGCAATTTAAAATAGTAAGATGTAATTACTAAAATAAAAATGTTAATGACAAGAAAAGCAAATATTAGTATTTTTTTTAAAAAAGGCAACATAACACCACATTTAAAAAAATAAAAAGGGACTATTTTTGATGAACAGATTTCAAAAGATTTGAAATATTTAAAAAAAACATCCATTCAAAAACAATATCAAAGTAAATTTACAAAACTTTTTGAAAGTAATATTAAAAAAGCAAATAATTTTACTGTTATAATTAAGGTGAAACTTTAAACTTTATCAATGAGAAACTGTTACTGATATGATAATCTTACTTAGATCCTAATGCCTAAGTCAGTGAGCACAACAATTAAACTAAGGATAACAAAAAAAAATAATGCTAATGGCAGTAAAGAAAACTATCCTTGGGAACATTGTAAGATATAAAATAAATATTAGACCTCACTCCTAAAAACAGGATTTCTTTTTTTTAATGAATACAAGAGTAACTTATTTCTGGCAAAATCCTTGAGTAGTTAGTTGAGGCATTTTTAGTCATTCTCTGGGCATACGCAGCTTACCAAATTATTCTGAGTTTTCACAACATTAGGATCATCTGGCCCCAACCTTTTCTTGTATATTTCTAATGCTCGTAGGTAATATTTTTCCACCTGGAAGCAGCACGTACACCCATAACAATAGGAAATAAAAAAAATTACAACATGACATAAAAAAAAGATTAAAAACATTTATGGAGCATGCAGGAAAAACAGTAAATCCTTCTGAATGGCTTTAGATTAGTTTTTTTTTCCTCAAGCTTTATTTTAAAAACAAAACACTGACCAATATTATCCTGGTTTAAAATTTTTTTAAATGACAGGATAGCTGTGTTCAGAAAGATTTACAAACAAATCAAATTTTTAAATAAATGATAAGGTTCCGGTTTAAAATTGTCATGTGAAGTTTGAAAATACGACAATTTTGAAGATAAACAGCCATCACTGCTGATGATTCATGAACTACTTATTTCTGTTTTTATTTTATCAACACTGTATAAAAAAAAATTGTCAAAGAAAGAGTCCCATAAACCAATAATAAAAAAAAATATTTAAATTACATACGAATAATTTTTAATTGTAAAAGGTTGTGCATCTATAATATTTTAAAAAGATTAAACTGAAAATTATTTTTAAAAATTAACTTGTTTTTAAAGGATTCTTAGCATCACAAGTATTTTATATACAAGTGTTCAAGTCTTAAAAAGTCTTTACAAGCAATCTCCAATGACAAGTTTCTAAATAGACTAATCCACAACCTTGCACATTTAAAAAAATTTTTTTTTATTAAACACCAAAAGCAGCCATGGACATTAATAGCACATTGACCAATGAAACTCCAGGGGGGCCTAGTTCTGCCTTGATGTCTTACCAAATTGTTTTTAGTTTTAGCTACATTAGGGTCATCAGGACCCAGCTTTTCTTCATAGATCTCAAGTGCTCTCTGATAGTACTGCTCCACCTGTAAGCAACATACTCTTTAGTTTTAATTTTAAGCTCATGGTAACTCTACCCAAGTACCAGCCAGCTTGTTCCATACATCTGAATGACAGATATTTATGGCGTTTCTTCTTATAAAAACAAATGCTGGATAACTTCAAGATGCATCAGTCTCAGCTCAATTTTATCTGAGAAATTCTAAGAAATATTATTTTTTTGAGATGCAGAAATAAACTTATTCTTCCAAGTTGATGTTCCTCACTTAAGATGCATTACATCACACTGGATAATAAGACAACTGTTTCAATGATAACTGATATGAACATATTGTCTGTGAAGTGTACCCAGCATGTGAAACACACAATGATCTTACCTCCTCATACTTGCCCTGATTTTGACATAACAAAGCCAAATTGTTCAATTGCTTTGCTACATCAGGATGGTCTTTACCTAGTACCTGTAAAGAAAAAATAAAAATACAATAAATATATGGGCTTAAACTTATCCATTTATTAAAACATGATAAAATTCACCGATATATTGCCAACCAATGTAAAAACCCATCATTACAAAATACTTAAAATAAAATTGTGTTTACAGTGCAGAATGTTTTAACGAGTGAAAACAATCTTTTAAAAAAAATTTTGATAAAAGGAAAGAATGTTTGAATTGGTTACCTTTTCTCTAATTTCTAATGCTCGTTTGCACAAAGGTTCTGCTTCTTTGTATTTGCCACGTTTTCCATACAAAACAGCTAAATTGTTTAATGTGGCAGCCACCTTGATAAAGAAAACAGTAGAAACTTGTAGAGTATGTTTATTATTACCATTATAAACAATGTTCATAAAGTTTAGAATTTTTACAATCATTTAAAAAACTTTATCAATATTAAATTATGTTATTAGAAAATATTTTCAGGCGTATGTGACTGACTGATATTAACAGTCAGTTCATTTTAAAGGTTAAAACATTTGAAAACAGTTTAAATTAATACATATATAGTACAATTAATAAAATGAGAACAGAAGCTTAACCTAAAACAGTTATAAATAAAAATCACCAACAACATAATACATGTAAAAATCCTTTAAAAAAAACAGACATAAAAAATTCAAGTACCTAAAAATATTGGATATTTACTAAGAGGGGAAAAGCACACTACCAATGTAAATGTTCAGATATATATATATATATATATAATTTGTCTTATTAGATCTTTAGCTTGCATGCTAGAATCCTTAGTAATTCACTGCTTACTTAATGAGCTAATTCATAACCAAGCATGATTTGAATAGTGTGCTTTTCTACGTTTAAAGCATTAAATCCTTAATGATTAGTTTGTGCGACATACATTTTAAAAAGTGATTAATCAGTAAAAGAGCAAGCCCAAACCTTTCAATGAGGCAATACGAATGAGCCTGATTACATTCAATATATAAATCTTATCTCTGACTTTTAACAAAAACATTGCTGCTTTAAACATAATTAGAATGCATTAATAATTTTGTGGATTAAAAATTGTTCAGTATAGTATTTCATCTATAACAATCAATAACCTACAGTAAGATTGGCAAGCACTACTTTATTAACTATTTCTATGTTAACCACATGCCCAATACTAACTTTTTACTAATAACTGAATAATCAAATATCTAAATTACATTTTCAAATAAAATGAACTAAAATTGATAGCTGAAGAGTTAAGTTAACCTTTTTTTTTAAAAATATTTAATATATGTAAAATAAATTCTTGTTCATTAAATGGAAATTTACAATTCTTAAAAAAAACCGCATCATTGTTTGGAAGATAAATTAACATTGAATAATAAATTAAATTGAATATCAATGCTTAGATTAATTAAAAGAAAAACCCAAATCAAAAACACAATGAACAAAAAAGATAATAAGATTTCTCAAAACCAAAACATTGACTGCATTCTTGTAATTACTAAAGATTTGTTTAATACATAGTTTAGGCCGCATTTGTAATGTAAAACAACATTTAAAACTAGTTTCCTAAATCGTAGGCACAATACAGCTAATAACAACAAAAAGGCTAATTTTTGGGGGTAAGCAATGAGTATTTAAAGAAACATTTCAAAATATAGAATTGATATTTCAGCTCTTTTGTTTCCATTAATTGTTTAATAAAGGAAAGGGGAGGGTAAAGGAATCACATTAGTAAAATTTTACATCTAGGATGGGAAGAATGCATGTAGGGTATTTTACTTTCTAGTTATATTTCAGAAATTTATGAAAATGATGAAATTACTTTTTAAAATTATCAGAATATTTGAATAGCTTTCTCTGTAAAAAATCTAGCCAAACATAAATTAACACAATAAATAAAATGGGAGATCTAGAAACCCTAACTACAAAAAGAAATGTCCTTTCCTGACAATAAAGGCCTTGTAAACAGAGTATTTATAACACTGAAGCAACAAGGTTTCCAGTAAAAATGAAACAACTGAGATAAAAAAAACAAAAGAGTTTCAAAACACAGGGCTGAGTGTGACAACAACATGCGAGCGTCAACATGGACTGCTCATGCAATGCAGGGTAAGCAATCACCGCCTAGTTAACTCACAGCTGGGTGGTCAGGGCCTAAGGTCTTCTCACGAATGTTTAGGGCATCATTGAGTAGATTGGCAGCTTCCTTGTATTTTCCCTGGTCCCTTTGCAAGTGCGTAAACAAGAGGAGTCAATGTCAAATTCATAAAGAGAAACAAAGAAAACAATAGCCAAAACAGTTGGTAGGCCTCTTGTGCAGACACTGGTTCCTATCTTGATTCTGAAAACAAGACCTGATCAATTTTTTTGAAAAGCAGAACTTTACATAGGCCAGGATTTTTGCTTGACTTAAAAACTCAAGCCAAATTTTAAAATATTTTCTTTTTATAGTCCACCAGTTTTGTACTTGAATTAAAAACTCATCAAAATTTAAAGTAATTAAAAAAAAAAGCCATCAATATTCCTGACTGGTTATGTAAAGCTCAGCATGTTACAGATTAGTAGGATGTAAGAGAAAACTGCTCACTCACAGCAGGATGGCTATTGCCCAGTGTTTTCTCTCTGATGATTAAAGCATCATGAAGCAAGTTGCCTGCCTCTTTGAATTTACCCTGATCTCTGAAGTAACATGCAAGTTTGAGTTAAACATGAACTTTCAACACGATTGAAACTACTTTTTTATGGTATATTTATTCACCTTTCCTAAAACTAAAGAGAAATGTATTTATTTTTAAAAGGGTATTATTATTTTTTTTCACCTTAAATACACCTTAAAGAGAAATACTTTTTTTAAAAAAAGGAGTATAGAAATAGTTACAATTTATTTAAAAGCTACTGTTAGTTAAAACTGTAAACAGCTAAAGGCTGAATGAATGAAACAATTGAATACATTACCCATGTTTTTAGTATATAAAACTTTGTAAACTTTTTAGGAAATAATTTAAATGAAACATACACCTAAGGCTTATTATTTCTAAATATTAAAACTTTGAGTGTGCTTAAATTGCATACATTTTAACAAGCAATGCAGAAGAAAAAAAACTATTGTGGAAGAAATGCTGAAACATAAGATTAATTTAGAAAAGTAAAAAGGCATGTCATTCTTACACGTGATAGAATTGTTTGCTTTATTAAGGACATTTTTTAAATCAATCTTTTTAGTCATCAAGTTAATAAAATTTAAATTATAAATTAATAAGCATTCTTCCCTCCTCCCTGCAAGTTTATTCTTTAAGTTGTATTGTAAACTTAATAAGCACATTGTCTAACAAAAAGTGGGTACAAAACCTATGTCATCACAAAATTAATGAATCGACAATTTTGAAATCAATCTTTTTAGTCGTCAAGTTAATAAAATTTAAACTATAAATTAATAAGCTTTCTTCCCTCCCCCCTGCAAGTTTATTCTTTAAGTTTTAAACTTAATAAGCACATTGTCTTTAAAAAAAAGTGGGTACAAAACCTATGTCATCACAAAATTAAATTATTAACGTAACATGCAATAAAACCTGCCCTACCTGTACACAAGGGCCAGTATATTGAGCATGGTTGCCACATCAGGGTGGTCATGCCCAGAAGTTTTCTCAAGGTCCTCCAGGGCCTGTTTGCAGAGAGGTACCGCCACCTCATAGCGCCCCTGGGATGCATATTGAATGACAAGGTTATGGAGAGTGCGGAGTCTTGCGGGGATTTCATAACCGCCACTGGCAGCATGAGCCATTGCACTGGGTTGGGATGGGGAGAGCACTGAAGTAAGAAGAGACAAAACATTTTGTTACATTAATTTACATAGTGCATATAATAATGGCAGGAGAGGAGAGCTATTACTGAAATTAACAAGTAATGGATGTCTGGTTATTTGATATATTTTCACAATTCTGATGAGCATAAAACAAAATTAGTTTAATCTTTTCTCTGATCTTAGAGAATGTTTTTGTTTGTAGAAGTTAATGAAGAAAATAGAGATCAGAGATTTTCCATGTACCTTCTGGTGATTGATCGTCATCAGCATCTGGAAAGCCAAGGTCATCTAACTGTGATGGTGCTTCAGACTCTTTTTCTTCTTGTGGCTAAAAATGCACACAATGTATTAGAAACAAAACTAATTAAAACAGGGATTTAAAATGACTAAATAAAATTTATTTTTAAAAAATCATCATTAAAATTTAAAATAAAGACTGATTTAAAAGTTTATTGTAATTAAATATCCTATTTAAAATATTTTTTTCTTCTATTTTCATGTATGAAAGGTTGAAAGAATTAGGTTACTTATCTATTAGAGGTAATAATGAAAATACTTACAGCAGATGTATGACCATCGCCATCATCAAATTTCTTCATTTCATTCATGAACTCCAAGTGCTTTTTCTCTTCTTCTAGTGTTGCTACTCTTTGTTCACTAAACTGAAATTTAAAAAATCAAAAATCCCTTGATTATACTGGTACTATGTAATTGCTACAAATGCAGGATATCTTTCTTACTGTTTAACTACGCTGAATATTCAACACAGAAGAAAATTTAAAGCAACAGATAACCAAGAAATCTATAAACAAGGAAAGTTTTATATCTGGAATCTACAAGACACATTAAAGGCTTACTTGTAATTTTTGTTGTGTTGTAGCCAGCTCATCCCTGAGCCAGCCGTTTTCTTGGCAAAGTCGCCGAACTTGAGCTCTAAGTTTTTGTTTTTCAGCTTCTATCTTGCACAAGTAATTAGACAAGTCCATCATAACCTGGAAGAGATTTTATATGTATTCATGATAAATGAGTCTAAATCTTACTCTTAAAGATAAAAAAAAAAGAAAATTTCATTTTATTCTTGGGCACAATTGTAAAAAGGGTACATATCTATTTAATCATGAATAATTTTGTAAAAATTAATACTTTTCAGGAACACTATTTGCTTTGTCACTACCCAATAAGTATTATACAAGAAAACAAAACTTGGTAAACTAATTTTGAAACTGCCAGCAGCAAGAAGCAAACTTGACTACCAACCTGGCCCTCTCCTAGCCCAAGCTCTATGGTCTCAAGCGACCTCTGTAGTATGTTAGTTTTCTCTTCAACGAGATTCGTGTCTCCATTCTCCCTCTTGATGGTTTTCATGGAGGACAAAAGTGTGTTCAGAATTTGTTGGTAGTCATTCTTCAGGGTGTCTAGACCCTGTATCACTGTTCTGGTATTGCTGACAATCTCATCTTGACTGAGGGCGGTCATCTTGCCAATCTCCTCAATTTTTTTTCTAGAGCAAAAAAAAAAATAAAATGGATTTGACGTTGAGTAACTAAGTAAGTAATATTTAAGCAGCAAGAACTATGCTAACATGATATAGATTATAACAATGTATTATAACAATATCAACATTTTTAAACCACCTGTGTAAATAAAACAAAAAACAGGTAGGGCGAGAAAGGTTTTCTTGCTTTAGTAGGAAGTAAAGTCATTAATGTTATTGTTTTGTTTCCCTTACATATAACAAATTACAAGCCAGTCAATAAAAACTAAAGCTAAGTTAGACATTCTTCAAGTTCCAATCACTGAAGAAAACTGTGAGAGATCACAAAACAATAAACACTACCACAAGGCTTCTGTTGAAGCTATTGTCACTCTAATCTCCTGCAAGCACCTCACACTATTGGACATTATACAATGTTTAAAACAAGGTTGTTTTGTTTCTCTATCAAAAAGAAAGCAGTATTATTTTCCACTGGTATCATTAGATGCTACAATATAAAACATAACAAATTTTATTTTATTTTTTGTTCACACAATATTAGTTAATATGTCAATCAAACTAGAAATGTGATTTGTTGCATAAATAAAAAGTGATCAAAGATGTACTTATGGATTATTTTATATACAAAACAACCCAATTATGAAAATTGAAACACAACGACAATAACCATGTATGTATGCTGTCATAAAATGAATCAGATCTCAAGTACTTAATATATTTTAAAATTAAACAATTGACTTCTAGCACCTTTTAACATTACACTGACTTAAGTATAGCTAAGTCTATAACTCCATGCTCTAACTTAAACCAACAATCCAAAACAAGCACAACCAAGATCCAATTTTCAGCTATAGACAAAGCTTCACCTAACTACTTACACAATCCAATCATTCAGGTGAAAAGGCATTAATTTTATACAACATTTTCATAAAATTATTTTAGGAATTCCAGCAACACAAAAGCTGTGCAGCCACTTAAGAAGATATAAATCTTGGACTCAATTTCAGCAAATTGTTATTGAACATTGTAAACATGATAAAACAATGACTGTCAAGCCACTTGTTTCAAATACCAGCTCTCCTAGGTACCCCACAAAAACAAAAAAACACAAGTGTAGGGTAAATTGAGCTTGGTCGATGAATCAACAGAGAAACAGAAGCCACTAGATTTTTTGTTCTCCATTAATATTCAATCATTATGCTGGAACACGACCAAATGGGAAGAGCTACTCCATTGGCAATGTTGACAGAGTGAGGGGGACAATCAGTCTCATTGCAGACCAAATACAAGAGATAGAGCTACTGAACATGGGGCAGTTCAGTTGCAGTTCTAAACTTATAATTGCCACATTTATCAGAAGTTTGAAACTAAAAAACAACTATACATATTATACCATATCAAATTGTAGACCATAACTAGAGAAGGATGCACAGAACTTGTGCCTGTTCAGTTGTAGTTCTATAACTTTTAATGGCCACATTTATCAAAAGTTTGAAACTAAAAAACAACTACATATATCAAAGCTTGTCTAACTGTAGACCATGAACTAGAGAAGGATGCATATAAAATGGAGCAGTTCAGCAGTAGTTTGAAAGTAAAAGAATTTAATGTGTCAAAAATATTACTTACACTAACCTTAATAACAATTTCTATAAATTTATAAAGAAATGCACAATAATTAAACATCAATGTACAATGTATTGGTATATCCTCAGTATTCCCTTCAACTTATTTTTCTACTGGTACATTCCCTTCTGGTGAAAGCTTATAAACAACATTGACCCAACCACTTATTGAAAGATTTTCAAGATGGCAACAGATGGGTGATTGAATGATGAATTCATATCATCTGCATTATGGCTGTGGACTAGAGGCTACATTTTGTCAATAGCTTTGTGAGAGAAACATTCTGTTGCTTGTTTATCAGACTAATATTTTCACTGGCAGGTACTCATTTCATACCCCACTAAAAAGTAGCGCCAGCCATATTTATGTGGGCCTTTTTATGAATTTTATTTTATTTATTTTTTTAGTAATTTTTTTTTCTGCTATTTAAACACAGCCTTTTGGCAAGTACTTCAAATATCACAGCTATCATTAAACTGACAGATATACACAGAGAGAAATACCCACTTTAAATGGAGACACAGCAATTGTTAGATACCTCAGAGAGGTAATCTGTTTGAGGGGAAAAATCTCAAAGAACAAATTAAAAATTTCAGATATTTGAACTTTTGGTTCACTAAGCTGAAACTATTTTCAACGGAATTCAAGTCTTAGTGTTAACTATGGTTTCTTCACATCATTAGGAAGACTATTTGTAGTACAATAATGCACAAAACACATGACTCATACGGGTAAACAGATTAAGCTGTGAAACATGTGACAGCTACTTCAGTTCTGGGTTTTAAAACTTTTTTTTTACATTTCAAGTGCCCAGTTGCTAACCACCTCAAGTAAATAGCCTGATTCGGTTGAAAAGGGTGGCTGAATATAAGAGATATTTGTTTGCATGCAGTAGCCATTGAATCATAATGTCCTTATTCACCTTGTAACTGAACTTGTTATGATAACTGAACATACGAGACAAAGAAAGGCAGAGAATAGATGAATAACAACATTCAATACCAGTAACTTAACACATAAAAAAATGTTAAACCAAATCATTCTTTTCTTTCTATACCACTATCCTCTACAGAAAAACAACAAAAGATTATTGCAAATGACTAATACTATGAGTAGCATAAACAAATATTATATTATTATATTGAGATTATTTCTACTTTTTAATTAACAGAAAGCTTACCATAAATGAATTGTAAACAATAAAAAATTTTTTATAGAAAAAAGCACTAACTTCAAAGGAACTGTCCTCGTTTAGAAATGCCAGTTGGTTTTAAAGAATTCAACACATTCTTTTAAAGAATTCAACTAATTCTTTAATAAATTGTGAGGACAGTGCACACTGTCAACTACTGAAGCTACCAGTTGATCACAGGAAGTAGAAGAGATCATTAGCATTCACTGTTAACATCTGCTGCACTCCATGTCTATTATTCATCGGGGATTGTGGGCCTTAAATTTTCCCCCCACCCCTCTGCTTTACTCTTACCAACACCCACAGTACATATGCGGATTGTGACAGATGACCACCTTAAAAAAAGGTAAGCTGTCTGGCTTTGTCAAAACAAGGTGATCAATTCTACATAATGTCATTCACGGTTTTCGCTTTAGAATTTTCTTTCTCCATTTATTAACATTTTAAAAATATTTTGTTTATTAGATTATATAGATTATATAAGTAACACTAAAACATGATTTTCTCTGTAGAGTAATGAGAACATATTTTCTAACCAATAAATAAACAATATATGACATGAAGTAGCCTACATTGAAGGCCAAAGCAAAATATGACATACACATCATGAAAGGGAAGTAAGAAGGGTCATTATAAATGCCCCTGGGCCATCCAATAATGGTAATGATGAACATTTCAGCCAGAGAAGAAATAAACCGCAAGCACTAAAATCAATATAGTCTGGCTATGACAATGTAGTGGCAAGGTGCAAGTACTAAAAATAAAACTGTGAAGTGGTGTAGAGAAAGGTTGTGTTACATCAGGTGGAGAGACATAAATTTACCCAACAAATTATTTTTTAAATGCAGATACCTATCCGTTTAAAACCAAAATTTTCCACACATCAAACTGAAAGTGTCAACTTTATCCCAAAAGACCAAGGATAAGTCAACTAGATAGAATACAAAGAAGAAAAACCTGACTACAACTGGTGATGGAAATGGTAGGTTAAAATCTCAAGCCTGAGCAGACAGAGAGAAAGAAACAGGGGAAACAAAATGTAAACATTAGCAGGTCAAGAGAGAAGAATGAATTATTTGTACAATTGTTTAAACACCAGTTTCTCTTGGTCTCTAACTGCCAGTGGCCTGGATAGATTTAACCCCCCCCCCTCCTCCCCAGACACTAATTCTACATAACTTACTTGCTAGTGGAACAAGCTTTTTAAAAATAAAACCCCAAAACTCACAACTTACAAGGCTTTGTAATTATTACTGTACAGGAGGGTAGAATAGTACCCAGTGGTTATAAAGGGGTCAGGTCATTAGCTAAGGTGATGTGCCCTGTGTGCATACATTGACACACAGACTAAATTACCATGCCTGTGATTCTTCAGCCTCCTCCTAATGCCAGGTTACATCCACATCCAATGCTAATAATGGGCTAATGTTCTCCCCTCCCCACTTACGTGAATAAACTACCCTATGTTTCTTCCACGCCAATCCCCAAATTATATTTTGTTAAGAAATAATTGAAGACCTTATAAAAGGTTGGTATATTTTTTTTCATTTAGAGAAATAAACTTGTTTCTGTTTTACTGAGACTAACGTTAAGTTACATCTTTATTATACACATGCAAAACTAGGCATGTTACATTATACTGCCTTTAAAAATTATATCAACCATTTACCATAATGACCCAGTGATCATTATACTCCACTAACAAAAACTGTATGGGATGGAGTGGTCTAGCGGTAGGAAGCTGGACTGCTAACCCGTAAGTCTCGAGTTCGAATCCGGGTTCAAGTCAGTCGACCTTCCTTGAGTCCACTTAACTCTGAGGGGTACCTAACTCACGTTAGGGAAAGTAAAGGCAGCTGGGCATAGTGGTGATCACACTATCTCTTCATATGCCTAGGTCACAGAAACAAGTGAACTCTACTTCACTTGCCCGATAGACTGTCAGGTTTGAAAAGGGAACTTTAATTTTTCAACAAAAACTAGTGCTTTTTTAAAAAAAAAGACTTGATTTCTAAAAAATACTACCATCTGTTTCAACGAAAACTTTTAAGGTCATGAGCCACTTGTTTCTAAAGCCAAAACCATAAAATGGTAAAGACTTTCTAAAGCAGTCAATGTATTATTCTGTTCCAAGATTGAGTCCACTGTACAACTAGCAACACAGGCTAGAGCAAATAAAAAGGCAAGTGTCTACCTACAAGACCTGTTAGACACAATGCACAAGACAATACAAGTGAAGGTCTCAGTTGAAAAAGTAATTTAAGTGTAATTTGATAGTTTTGAGAAAAATAAGATCAAAGTTTTTTTAAATGGATGTTAAAACATCAATTATTTTTCAACAGTTTTATTAAATTAAACCACTTGGGTACTTTTTCCATGACAGAAATTTTACAAGGATATAAAAGATGCAATCAAAGGTTATGCAGGTCTTAGCAAATTTTTTGATAAAATGTAACTGAAGTATCTTTTCCAACGAGCCCTTCAATCATCAATAGTCATCAGAGATGGAAGGAAAATAAATGACCAAAATGGTGGACAAGCAATAGCAGGCAACAAACATGAGCTCACAAACAGACATAAGCAATGATACATTCATCAGACATGATGATACAGAGTGACTCAGTAGTCTCAACAATACACTCCCTGTATTCAAGCAAGTAGTACTAATGTATCCAAAATATACATTATAATGTGACATTGTATATTATGCATATATTCATAGATACATTTAAGTTTACAAAAGCAATGATTAGGCAACATAAAACCAAAAGCCACAAAAGAAAAATCAAATGATTCAACAACCCCCCCAAAACAGAAGCCTTGAAAAAGCTGCTTACTCTACAAAGCCACTCAACACATGATGTCTTCACAGTGCACTTACTTTCTGTAGTTTTTGGCGGCCTCGGTATCCATTGTGTTAACAACCATAAGAACGGCTGGTGTAGGTATAGAGCTAGACCAAAAAACAGAGCTGACCGCTAGAGAACCCCAGGACAAGAACGTCTGACCAAGTTAGCAGCGCAGAGAGTACAACGGCTACAAAAAGAAGACGATCAGAATTCCACCATGATATAACTTAGGAAGCGCCACCAGCGTCAGGGGTGTATTGATTCAAATCTATCGTCTAAGAAAACCGATCAATCAAAGAATATCACATCAAAACGGGTTGATACTTTGTAACAATGTTCAGGTTTCAGATTAGTTCGTTTGAATGTTTAAACCTAGCCCAAGCTCTCAATGTACAGATACGGGTCCAATGTTTTGGTGTTCACTTTCCAATGGCTAAAATTCCAAAACGTTCGATCTCAGTGTAAAAGACGCAAGAGGGAAAATTAGGATAAATTATGCTTCATCACACCACAGCTCGGGTCTGCTCCCCCTTCTCCCCCCATAGATGACGCTGGAATGGACCAGCCCATGACGAAGCCCAAGGGGTGGGAGGGACTCGGCGACAAACTTTTCCCCCGGCTGAATCTACACCGCGTGAGGTTTTTTTTTTCCCTTTTTTTTTATAGCAGTGAGTCAGTTTTCAGAATGGTACATTGGGCGAATGGAAAAACCTGCCACCCCTCCCCTTCATGACAACAAACCCAAAGATACAAACAACACGCGAGCACAACCTTTAATAGAAACGTGTGGATATTGATTTTTTTTTTCATCCCCTCCCGACCACCGCGCCAAGCCTAGATATCCCTTCCAACCATCTTTGTCGAGGCATTCACGGCTGTGCCCAGTGCTCACATACACACGCGTGCGACGATCGATAACACGGGATGCGCGAGACGACCGACGCAGTGGATACAGAGAGAGAGAAAAAAAATGTCCCGATGCTTGCGATCAATTTTTAGAATCTTTAAATCATTTTTTTCATAAAAACTTCACACATCTCAAACTAATATTTTTTTAAATGTAAAAGATTGATAATGTAATAATTTTGAACATAATTTGTACAGTAGTTACGCAGATGAATATGGCCGTAGAGCAAATGTCGGAGACTGCCGACCCCGCACGACAAAGTATTGATCAAAATCAGGTAAAACAAAAATGTTTTACGGTCAATTTTTCATGCAATGTCGTCTGATTGGTCGATATAAATATACATTGGAGGGGGTGGGGGTGAGAAAAGGAGGAGAGTTTCGCCGAGTCTACAGCTGAGAAGGTTATCCGTTTTAAAAGCCACGAGGCCACCTGCTTTGCTACAAAGGGAGGCTATCAGATAAAACGAAAAAACCTAATGTCTACTGAACGGGGAAGAGTTATCCAACTTGATTTCCTCTTTAAAAAAAAAAAAAAGAGCTGCCTTGGTAACAGCAGAACAGAAAAGGTGTAGAAGTTCGTTTTGGGCGGAAGGGTATTGGCAATCTCTAAGTCCACACCAAGAGTTTATGTAAAAGTCAGTTACAATATTGAACTGAAACATTCGATTGTAATACAGTAATGGGATATTATAAAAGCAAAAAACAACAAGGAGAAAAAAAAAGTTCACAGAAGAACCTTTCCCTCAAAACCTACCACAAAACACCATGCTAATCTATCCCTTAAACCTATTGGCAACTCTGGTTTAGCTGATCTTTACATGCTAATAAAAGCCATGGCACCCATTGTGTGCTGATGTACAACAGGGGTACAAGCAGCTGATGGGAGTATGAATGCACAGAACCCTGGGTACACATGATCCCATTGACCTTCAACACAGAAACTAAAAAGGGTTGATACCAGGACAGATATGTGTGGGTGGAGGGGGATCACAGCAGCACTATCTAATCACAAAACTACTTCATTGATAGCAAGTGGTAGTGGGGGGTAAATACATTCAGGAACAAATGCGGTAAAACAACATGTTTTGTGGTGAAAAACACAATATGGCCAATACTTACTGGATACTGTGAGTAAGGAGTAAGAAAGAAGAAACAAAAAGTTTAACCATGTGTTAGTGGGTATCCTTGGTCACCTGGTTGTCTTTAACCAGTGGGTTCAAGGTCTGGATACTTGTATTGTCAGAGTTTTGACATCAGAACATATGCATAGAGATACTGAACTCTAGTAGGTAGTTGCCCGCAATCAGTTGGGACATTACAAAATGGTGGACCCAACCATTTACCTACAGGCCATGGTTTTAAAACAAGTGGATTCTACTCCACCTACCCTCATCTGACATCAGTTGGGACATTACAAAATGGTGGACCCAACCATTTACCTACAGGCCATGGTTTTAAAACAAGTGGATTCTACTCCACCTACCCTCATCTGACATCAGTTGGGACATTACAAAATGGTGGACCCAACCATTTACCTACAGGCCATGGTTTTAAAGCAAGTGGATTCTACTCCACCTACCCTCATCTGACATCAGTTGGGACATTACATAAAAATATTTAACAAAAACCATTTCTTAGAGGCATGGCATAGAAACATGTGGATTCTACTCCACTTACTGGCAGATTAGCATTTATCCCCTTAGTTTTAGATAGCTTTGGCCATGCCCACTTATCGACCAAAAGATATTTCCTAATTAACACAAATTAGTTATAAATTTATTTATTACTAAACAAAAAGATGTTCACTACAAAACCAGAATGATTATTTAAAGAAAGGTTATAATTAAGATTGTGATACATCTAAAAGAAAACTCCATTTATATTACTGTCACATTATTCATGAAGATGTACCATAGGTTATTATTGTTATAAATTTTAAAGACATTTTTTTGGATCTAAAAGACTAGAAAAATTTATTTGGCAATTTTTTTAAAATGATCAATACTATTAATGCCCGATTGAACTCAACCATAATCCATTAACATTTGTTAAAAATATAAAAGAATTTCTTTAGAAGTTTTATTTTCCCTGCTTTAGTTCACAATAGAATAATAAATAAATGTTATTCTAATACTGATTGATACCATGTAAAATATGACCAAAAAATATTTAGATTCAACTTAAACTCTCACCTCACCACTCAAACTGGTTAGCTAGTCATAACTAACAGCAATAGTATTAAAGGGTTAATAAAAAGCCAGCATTACCTTTCTGGTTGTGCTTTAGGTTCAGCCATATTAGTTCTGTCAATGCTCATACATTTTCTGCAATAAAAAAAGCCCATGCAACAACATCAAACATGTATCTCATGCTGATTCGGATAATTAATAAATGTATGTGTATATGATTACTAGCAAATACTGTGAAAATAAGAAAATAAACAATAATTTCTTAAGCAAGAAAACACAAAATTGACAATAACAAGATTTTTTTTCAAGTCAACAATAATAACAAAAGGATTCTAGTCAACTCGTTAATGTCAGTTAGTAAGTTAATACCCGGAAAAATATTTTTGTAAAAATACTTCATAATTAAAAAATGTAGAAAAATATGGTGTTTTTAATATCAATATTATAGTAGTATAGGTTATTGCTAGTCATATTTTTTGATACCTTAAGGAAGAAATAATTCCTCCCGATCATTTTACAAGAATGATCTACTTAAATATACTTCATTGACCTCATTGTCAACTTTATTTCAACTCGTCAGTTAAAATAGTTATTTGTTTTGTCTCTCTATCAATTTTTGTTAGTTCCTTGGGGCTTTCCATATAATTAGTAGCTTTGTATTAATTCTTCAGAGTATATGACAATATGTTAAGTTCTCTTTTGAGGTCCACGGGGCAAGTAGAGTTTGTTACGTCCCTTACATGTCCCCTGCTTGTGTGTGTGTGTGTTGTGTGCTGGAACGACAGGTACCCTCCCTTTGGTGTATAGTTGTATCCCTTGGTTGAGTGTGTTTACATGGAGCGAGAGGTGTTCACGTGAGGTGTGTCAGGTGACGGGTGTCAGAGCGTGTGCCAGTGTGTGAATCGGTTAGTTGTGGTGTGGCTGTGGACGTGGAACGTGGAACGTGGGGGTTGAGATCTGGATGTGAAGTTGTGCTGTGGCTGTGGACGGGGAGACGTTGAGTATCTTGTTATTTTATGTTGTAGACTCCATTTGCTCTTTTATTATTCTTATTACTGTATATATTTATATTAAACATCTTATTGTTATTATTATATTTATATAGTGTTAGTTGTCTTTGTTTGTCGCTACATATATATATATACCCTAGATTCCAGAACCCAACATTTGGGGGCTCGTCCGTTTAGCATGGCTACTACCAGGAGTGCCAGAAGACAGCTAATAAGTGATTTGAAGGAGGAGGGAAAGCTAATTGGGCTGACCGATGACAGTTTGGCGGAGTGGGTGAAGGAAGAGTTGAGGAGGGTGGAAGATGCGAAGGTCGAGGTTGTAGCAAAGGTATGTAACCCTGTACCCCGCTTGAGGGATGTGGCGGCGATGACGGTGGACGAAGACCTGGGTGCGTATGTGAGGCATTTTGAGAGTCAGGCAAAGAGACAAGGCATTGACCCCAAGGACTGGTCGCTCCTTCTGACGGACAAGATGAGTGGACAACTGAAGACTTTCCTCGTTGAGACGGGACTGAACTTGCATCAGGACTTCGAGTCAGTAAAGGTAAAGTTATTCACGCACGCAGGTTTCAACGAGGAAAAGTATAGGGTCAGATTCCACCAGCTAGTACCAACACACGACGACATGAGAAGCTTCGCAGTCAACACAGAAGCCGCTTTGAGAGCGTGGGTCCAGCAGTCGGGAATAAAGGAAACGTTTGAGGACTTGATGAACCTTTTGATAGTTGATCGGATAAAAGCAGTTGTTAGTTGTGATCTGTTGGAGAGGCTGAATGGTGCTGCTAAGGTAAGTGTGGAAGATAATCTTAAAGTTATTGACAACTATAAGAGCACTCGGAACGCTAGAGTGACGAGGCCAGTAAACCAAACCCCTCCGTACGTCGCTGCAAGTTCTACAGCAGAGAGGATACCCTGGCTAAACACGACACCGCGATCTCCAGGACACCACACTTGCCCTGGTGTACAGCCTATGCATGGTGTTAGGAAGGTCAGCCGGAGCAGTAAATGTTATGCATGTGGACGTTATGGACACTATGCCAGGGATTGTCATAGCAATAGTAATAGCGGCTTTACTTGGAGAAATAGGTCAGATAAAAGAGCTGTTGTGGAGTATGGAAACAACAAAAGACCTTATCGGTGCTACAAATGCAATGAACAAGGTCACATTGCCAAAGAGTGCAGTATGGATATAGATACAGGCGCCTGTTATAGGTGTAGAAAGCCAGGCCACATACAACGAAACTGTCCCAACGCGACCAGTAGAGCGAGCAACTGGCCGACTGCAAATGTACATCGACGGTCAGATGATCTCAAGTGTTATTGCTGCGGTGGTGTTGGTCACATATCACGGGTGTGTCCCACAGCTCAGCGTGATATGTTAGGAAATTTTTCCCTGCTTAAAAACTCTCATATGAGAGTGAGGTAAAACACGAAATTTGGAGGCGTATCCTTACAAAGGTAGTGTCCTTGGTAAGTTTTTGTTAAGATAATTTATTCAATCAATGTTAATTTTTCTTTGTTTTTTTGTACAGAAGCTGTGTATGATGATTATGGGCTGGAGATGATTGATGTAGTTAAAACGGCTATCGAGAAGGGAACTCAGTTTGATCGCCTTTAAGGAAAGATGACCATCTATGGCGACGTACGCATCTGCCGATGGACCCTTGCACTACAGGAATTAGCCTGTACTGTGAAACATATCAAGGGAACTGAGAACTTTGTAGCAAACAATCTATCAAGAGTGTTTTACGACAACTAGTGTATATGATATTGAGAAATTTATCATTGTTGGAGATAGTATGATTATGTTAAGGAATTTACTATTGGGGCATTATAATGTGATTATATTGAGAAATGTTTGAGAAAGGTATTACTGATGCAGTATAGAATGATTATGCTGAGTAATTTTTTTTATTGTGGCTTCTCACATGTATCATTATAGGTTGAGATAGTCAGACCACGAGCTTGGTGCCCGGCCGGAGAAAAACCATAGTCCACTCTCAGGACCGAATTGTTCAAGCTGGATACACGCCACACTCTGGATCAAACTGTCCAGGCTGGATACACGCCACACTCTGGATCAAACTGTCCAGGCTGGATACAAGCCACACTCTGGATCAAACTGTTCAGGCTGGATACACGCCACACGGTCAAAACGAGGCTTTCTAAGGACTAAAGAATAAGTAGTCGAGCTCGGGCACCAACAGTGGCTAATGGAACAAGAGATGTTTGATCTCTTTTGAAGAAAAAGAGATCTGAAGGTGGAGGGGAGGGATGTTACGTCCCTTACATGTCCCCTGCTTGTGTGTGTGTGTGTTGTGTGCTGGAACGACAGGTACCCTCCCTTTGGTGTATAGTTGTATCCCTTGGTTGAGTGTGTTTACATGGAGCGAGAGGTGTTCACGTGAGGTGTGTCAGGTGACGGGTGTCAGAGCGTGTGCCAGTGTGTGAATCGGTTAGTTGTGGTGTGGCTGTGGACGTGGAACGTGGGGGTTGAGATCTGGATGTGAAGTTGTGCTGTGGCTGTGGACGGGGAGACGTTGAGTATCTTGTTATTTTATGTTGTAGACTCCATTTGCTCTTTTATTATTCTTATTACTGTATATATTTATATTAAACATCTTATTGTTATTATTATATTTATATAGTGTTAGTTGTCTTTGTTTGTCGCTACATATATATATATATACCCTAGATTCCAGAACCCAACAGAGTTCACCTGTTTCTGTGACCTAGGCATAATAAAGGGACAGTGTAGTCAGCACTATATCTAGCAGCCTTTAATTTCCCAGGTACCCAGAGCTAGGTGAACTCAGGGATGTTCTATAGACTTGAACCAGGATTTGTACTTGAGTGTATGCTCTACCACTCAACCACGCTATCCCATCTGTGACAATGGATTCTTCCAATAACTAGGTAATCATGTTAGTAGCAAAGAAATAACAATGATTAAGGTTAGTGTTGATTACCACTGGCAATGCAAAACCTCTTTTGTTTAGGAGATTCTATTATTAAATAGTGAAAAATACTGCAATGATTTAAATAAGATAAAAAATTAGATCTCTTACTTACCAGGTGTTCAACAACTAAATTCAAGGGAGTTAAACTGAGAAGACAAGTTCTCTTACTTCAAAAAGTAAACATCACAGTTATTGCATTTTCTGTTTTAAAAAAATACACATAAATAAAACAATCTTACATTTCTTATTTATTACTATACCTATAGCTTGGTATGAATAATATTTGAAAAAAAAAGGAACATATTTTTAAAAAATCTGCTGTTGATAAAAATAATTTTTTAAATAGTATTCTTGGTTAGCTATACATTATAATACATGGTTATCTATAAATATGTATGCCCCCCCCCCCTGTGCTCACTTTTTATTATTTACATAAGTAATTTTAAAAACTGAACTAACAGATATAATTATGTTTAAAAAATGCCTAATTTAAATGCAAAAGTGAAACTTTCCTAACTTTCTCATCACCATATTCATCTTAACACCCACAACCCCAAAGAGTATTCTTAGTGATACTGGATACAAGCATTTTTGTGATGGGAGCACAAATTGATTAGCCTAAAATAAAAGCCCATGACATATAATTAACTCCAATAGGCCTACATAAAACAGTGTAGAGATTCATAGCAAGAGGTGGTGGAGTTTGTGAATGGCATAACTTTTTTCTCATTAACCATTTCATTACCCATCTGATGTGAAAAAGATTAGTTATAAACATACAAAATCTAGGTATTTAGTTTCAAATTAACGAAACATTAAAATTGAAAGTGACGGCTAATATTACTTAGTCTCATACCCGCTGATTCTATATAAGTCCAAAAGATGTTATTGAGGTACTCTAAATGTCTATCAAATACTTATGCCCCTCACACCGCATAGTTTAAATTAAATCAAACTTTAGAATGTTGGTCTTTTCTTAATTTATAAAATATTTAGGTTTTTAAATTAGTGAATAGCTGAGGCTAAGATTACTATGATTATTATTAATTAGGTTACAAGGCCCACTATATATAAATATCTACTTTTTAACTTAACAATATTATATTACCAAAGAGATTCAGCTGCTAATCAAAAGTTTAAGAAACTGGGGTTTATTGTCATCTGACATGATCTTCATGTCAGTAATCTATTTCTTAAGTTAGTATTACTGTATTATGACTCTTTGAGCTATATTATGATTTACATATAAACAAACTACTAAATCTATAAATATTCAACTACTAGATCTCTAGTAGATCTACTACTACTCACCTCCTCTTTATTAAAAGCTTGTGTAATTGTGTAGTTTATTTCCACTTTGAAAATAATTTTCATAAAATACTGAGTGGTTCTAGACTAGATTGTGGTTAAATGTAGAATCTAGATCTATGAAAGTGATGAAAGTCATATCTTCTTAATCTAGTTGGGTCTAATGATTGTCTATTAATAGAAAGATCTAGATTAACTTTTAGTACAGTTTTGAGTTAGATTAGAAATTAATTCTTAAGCCTAGTCAGTACTAGTACTAGTCAGCCTATATAAAAAGTTGTGTTTATTTATAAATAATAATAATAGCCTATCTGATCACTAATCTATACATTACATAGATCTAGATCTAGGCCTAATTGAAATTCAATTGACAATGGGACTTATTTGTGTAGCTTGTTTTGTAGTTTATTTTGATTGTTATGATTTACTAATTATAATTTGTGTTGTTCACTTCCCCTCACTGAGTGATTTGATTACTGATTGAGTCAGCTGCTTGATTTTGAAGATTAGATTTCTAAGACCCAAAGAAAAGCGTCTTCTGAGCAAATCAATAACTTAAGTCACAAAATGAAAATTGTAAACGAACATTTCTATTGTTAGATCTAGACTAGTAGATTCATACATTAGCCCAGGTAAACATCTATTCTACGCTAACCAAAACAAAAGTAAAATTAAAATCAACAATCGATCCGAAGAAAATGTTTGAACCGGTTTATTACTTCCATAAAGAATGTTATTCAATGACGAAGTATATTTTTTAAAATGAATAACGAGAAAATGTATTTATTTACAATTATCACAATGATCAGGGTCACGATAAATAAAGTATTAGGGATTTTAAAAAAAAAAAACAAACGTTATGTATGTACGTCTTTATTGATTGACACCCATTGAGTTGTCAGCATTAACATGGCGGATGTAGAAAATCTCATCTCAAAAATCCCAAACGAGATGACGGTCTGTTATCCATTCTTGAGAATTTGACCCATTTGCGAATACAGGCAATTCATATTCATAATCATAGGATACCTAAATTCAACATAACAAACATATATTAAGAGTTTCTTGGCTTAATTTTTCAAATTTAAAATAATTTTTATAAAATAAAAGGAAGCCTGTACTAGATCTACATCTACTAATAATCTTTTTTTTTTTTTCAAAACTGTAGCTTACCTTACAAACTACCAGTGGCGTTGGCTAGGAGGGTGGGGAGAATTATAGCGGACGTGGGCAAGCTACGTTAAGTGTTTCTTAAAGATTTTTTCTCCCGTGGTGGGGGGGGGGGGGGTGCTTTAATTTCTTTAGGGGCAGAGTTTCTTCCAGGCATCTCTTCGGGTGGGGGGACGCCCCCCCCCCCCGAAGACAGTCGACCGACCTTGAAAATATCGTGCCCCCGGAATAAAAGACTGGAAGAAACAAAGTTTGGGGGGGGGGGGGGGAGAGGAGTCACACTGATAGGGCGGATATGGGATGGGGCTGACTTCAAAGGCGTAGCGACCCTTCCCGGCGCCCGGGGACAAACTTTTCGATTTGCACCCCCCCTCAACCTTTCTATTTATTTTTCCAACCCATTTTGGCGCCCCCTAAGGTCGGCGCCCGGGGACATATGTCCTCCCCCCTCGCTACGCTACTGGCTGACTTTTGTGATGAAATGTGACGACTGTGAGGGGTTATACTCACAGTTTCTTTCTGAGATTTTTCTCGGGGGGGGGGGCACTTAAAATTTCAAGGGTTTCACACTGGTTCAAGTATATAAGCTAATTTTTTAATATAAATTAGCATTTTTCTACTTCTCCCTCCCCTTACTCCCCACCCTCCCTCACCCTCACTCACCGAGTGATGCCTGAAACAAAATGTGGTTATATATTGTGTCATATGTAATGTTTAAATATGTAATTATGTAATTATTATTTCGTTCACTATGGCTATTATATCTAAATATACAATACAATAGCTTAACGATAACGAACTACAAGATTAATTGGAAGGATGTGATTCCAGAGGCGTAGCGACCCTTCCCGCCGGCGCCCGGGGACAAATTTTCAATTTGCACCCCCCTCAACTTTTCGATTTGCACCTCCCCCCTCAACTTTTCGATTTGCACCCCCCTCCTCAAACTGCAAAAATGCAGCTAAATTGACATTTTAATTTGTTTTTACAACCCATTCTGGCGCCCCTGCCCCCCCCCCCCCCAATCGCTACGCCTCTGTGTGATTCTCAAACTGCCATAACTGTATCAACAGTTTCAGTAACATCAGGAACTGGAATTGTCTGTGGGGCCATCTTCCCTGGACGCTGTGCCTTGTTATTCAATGATAATTATGTGCGTATGTAGCGTGCATCAGAGTTTCTTCCAGGCATCTCTTCGGGGAGGGGGGGGGGGGGCTCAGCCTAGGCTTTTAGTGTTTCTTTCAAACATTCATCTCCAAATGTGTATGGGGGGGGGGGGAGCACTTAGACTTTTGGGGGTAAGGTCTTAAATTTCCGAGGGGGGGGGGGGTGCGGAGACTGGTTAAAAGATATACGTTCTATATAAATTATACAATTAGGATCCACTGGCCCGACACCATCAGCAACGCATACATATTATGGGGTCGTACGTAAATGACGTCACACTCGTAGGGGGGGGCGTAATTTTGTGACGGTGTGTGACGAGGGGGAGGGGGGTTCAGATGGTGTGACGTCACACTTTTGCATTATAAAAAAGCAATGTTAGAAAACGATCTTTAGACGTTATTTCGCGTTTTAGAAAACTGTTTTAATAAATTGCAAAAAGAATTTATTTAAATACTCTATTTGGCAGAGTTCAGACAAGATTTTGGAAAAATATCGATGTTTTAAGAAAAACGCAACTGTAATTTTGAGGGGGGGGGGGTCGTAGGCTGAAGTGTGACGTCATTTTAGGGGGGGGGGTCTGGCTTTTTGTGACGATGTGTGACGGAGGGGAGGGGTGCAGGTAAAAATCGTTAAAAAAGCGTGTCGTCATTTATGGATGACCCCTATGGTGAAACAACTTTCCGCTGATGAAGAAATTAGGAAAAGAAAATGGGGATGGTTAGGGCACACACTGCGCAGACCACCAACCAATCGCCAGTCAGGCATATAAGTAGAATGCACAAGGAAAGCGCACAAGAAGTCTAACAAGAAACACGCACATTATATTTATAAAATATATTTTTTGGCGGTGGACTTGCTCCCCCCCCCCCCCCATCGCAGAGGTGCCCCGAAAAAACAACAACTCTGTAAGCATTGCTTTTTAAATACTTTTAATGAGTTAAATCCGAGGTCACGTAAAAACTTTGGTCATCGTATCCAAGTCGACTAACCTCTCCCATCACGGCGTTGGCAGTTTTTAAAATAAAAAAATATTTTCCTGGTCTTATCCAGAGTTTCAACCCGAAAAACGTCTACAGCACCCCCTCCCCCGAACGATATAGAATTTATATAGAAAATAATATATACTTTTACCAGTGTTCCACCCCCCCCCCGGGAAATTTTAGTCCGCCCCCCCCAATGAAAATTTCAAGTGCCCCCCCCCCAATGTAAATTTCAAGTGCCCCCCCCCCCCCCGAAGAAAAAAGTCTGGAAGAAACACTGGTCTTATGCTAAACTATCATGTGTAACAGTTAACCTTTAGCTAGATTAATACGTTTCAATGATCTCATTAAATTGGATCCCGGTCAATAGCCCTCTCCGCGAACGAAACCCCATTGATAATACCCCCCCCCCCCCCGATTGAGGTTTATATAAGGAAATAGGCCTACTAACGACAACAAGAAAACTTAACAATATGAAGGTGTATGAAAAGTAAAGAATCCTCTTTAGACCTAGCTATCCATTGGGCAGATGCAGTACAGTAGATTTAATATCTTTTTAGACCCCGGCCAGTGTTTCTTCCAGACTTTTTTCTCCGGGGGGGCACTTGAAATTTTCGGGGGGGGGGCGGTAGACTTTCTTCGGGGGGGGGTGGACACTGTTAAAAGTATATTTTCTATATAAATTATATAAATTTCATTTCGTTCGGGGGGGGGGGGGGGGCGGTAAAAATTTTTCGGGGGGCCGAAGCCCCCCCCCCCCCCGAAGAGATGCCTGGAAGAAACTCTGACCCCGGCATATGAAGGGATAGTGTGGTCAGCGCTATTCCCAGTCGCTTTTACTCTCCCTAACCAGTGTTTCTTCCAAACTTTTTACTCCGGGGAGGCACTGTAAATTTCCCGGGGGGGGGGTGACACTGTTAAAAGTACTTTCTATATGAATTCCATGCCTGGAAGAAACTCTATGCCTAACGTGATTTAGGTACCCATCAGAGATGGGTGGATTCAGGGACGTTCCACTTATTTGAACCCAGATTTTATTTAAGTAATATAGATACAAGATAGCAGTGTTTCTTCCAGACATTTTTCTCCCGGGGGGGAACTTGAACTTTTCGGGGGGGGGGGGGCGGTAGACTTTCTTCGGGGGGGGGGGCGGACACTGCTAAAAGTATATATTTTCTATATAAATTATATGAATTTCATTTTGTTCGGGGGGGGGGGGCGGTAAAAAAATTTCGGGAAGGGGGGGCTAAGCCCCCCCCCCACCCCCCGAAGAGATGCCTGGAAGACTGGAATAAACTCTGCAAGATAGACAACAATTTCTTTTGTTTGATTCCGGTGCCGAGACAAAAGGTAGGATGTTTTTATTTGAAACTAAAAACAAACTATTTTTTATTAGAGGCTAATGAGCATTGGTTTATGAATGGAACATACAAAACAGCTCCAAAAATATTTTCACAACCGTAAACTGTCCATGTACTGATGTTTTATAACAAAACACAGGAAACATACACAGCAACTAGCGATCTTAGCAAAAACCTGCAAACCGATGTTTATCATCATTGATTTTGAAATAGCTGTGATAAAAAAGTATAGAAAGCTTTTTTCTAGAATCTGAGGTAAAATTTTGCTTCTTCTATCTAATACAAAACATAGAATACATAAACTTGTCAGTGACTTTGCTCTGATGCGAAGAACGGTGCCTGCGCTGGCTTTTATGCCAAGTGAAAACATTTAATAACTGCACACCATCTTTCTTTTTAAAATTCAGTTAATTACAAACATCAATTACTATTAAAATACTGCGTTGCTTGTTTGTTTTAAATACGGATTTTTTTCTACTCATCATCGTTCGTAGGCCTATATAGTTCTTTGTATAAACCTCAATCGGGGGTGTGGGGGGGGGGGGGTATTATCCAGGTGGTTTATGTCGGGTGCGGTCAGAGGCGTAGCGGGGGGGGGGGTGCGGACCGCACCGGGTGACACCATTTAGGGGGTTGACACCAAGGCAAAAAATAGCAAAATATATAGAGAAAAATTTGAGGGGGGTGCAAATCGAAAGTTTGAGGAGGAAAGTTTGTCCCCTGGAAGGGTCGCTACGCCTCTGGGGGGTGATACCATTAAGTGCCGCACCGGGTGAAACCGACCTCGCTACGCCACTGGGTGCGGTAACTTTGTCACTTCAACAATTCTGAATTCTATTATTTCAACTGTATATACAACTTGTTTTGTCAATAACTTTGACGATTAAAAAAAATGGGCGTCATTCACTGAACGGTGTCACCTGATACGAACAGCACCCGCCGCGTCTTCACCGCAATGTAACACTAAATGTCCTACTAGTGTACCCGTCTTGCGTTGCTGCGAACTCAGAAGAAAGGAATTTCAAGTACAGTCTTCACAATATCCTTCGATTTACCATACTGTGTAATTTTTACTGAAACTTTCACATCTTTCAAATTTCGTATGTTTTAGCTTCCTCTTATTATAGGTATCAAAATTAAATACGTCTAGAGATCTAGATCTAGGCCTAAACAAATTGAAGCTTGACATTATTAAACAAAGACATGTTTACATTTTCAAAAATATTAGAAACCCGTTATGTTATTGTGTGAAAGTACACAGCAAGCAGCCAGTTAGCTCACTCTAGGCCTAGATTTAAGCACTTTGTTAAATTAGCATATTTCATATAGAAAAATGCGATGCTAACAGAGGATCATATGGAAACGAACGATTCGTGAATATTAATAGCTGTGACGATGTAACCAATCACAGTACATCCGGGTAAGCACACGGCACTGAAGTAAGTAGATGGAGACGGTTAAAATTTTTTCACCATATGCCTTTCTATTACTGTCTTACATTAAAGGTATTGTTTTAGGTTGAGTCATGGACTTTGATTTAAAAATTAAAAGATTACAATATTTCATACAGATAATTGTGTCTAGCAACCTTCAAAGTGAATCAACGCCTATTTAGAGGGCCTGTTACTTTGGCCAGCTGCCATCACTTTGCTGATAAAACGCAGATCCAGACAGCATTTTTATGACTTTATCGAGTCAAAACGGTTTGTAATATATTTCGTATTATAAATATAAGTGTTCTGTTTTATGGTAAATAATTATATTTTACTATAATTAGAATGATCTAGGTCTAGATCTAGATCTAGTTTATATATATAGGCCTACTGAGAGTGTTTGTCAAAAGTAGTTCATTTGAGCAAAGATGTTCTTGTCATGCCGCCATTTTTCCTGCCTTGCTGGCTGCAACCAGAAAAATTAATCCATGTGACTTTTTCTTCACTACTGACAGACCATATTTTTTATTTCAAAAGAAAAAAACTGTCAAACAACATTAGACTGGGCCTAGGCTCTAGTTCCTAAATATTATTTGGTAGTCTACTAAAAGAGAATTAACTTAAGACGTAAGAATCTTTTGTTAAGATTTTTTACTTAAGAGTAAAAGTAAAATCAGTATGACAAGATTTAAGAAAACTAGTCTAGTTACTAGATCTACAGGCTCATCAAATGTAGGCCTACTAAGGGGTCATCCATTTATGACCACGCTGGGGGGGGGGGGGGGGTAAAAACTGACTTTTGTGGACGCATATGGTTTTTATAAGGAAAAAAAAGTGGATTTTTTGTGGGGGGTCCAAAATACAAAAAAATTGTGGACGTCATAAATGGATGACCCCTAAATTTTCTTTAGGCCTATATAGATTCTAGATCTATTCCTAGAATCTAGATCTATTCCTAGAATCTAGATCTAGTTAATTTTGAAACATCTAGATATTAGCTAGAATATAGGCTAGATTAGATCAATTCTAGATTTTTAGATTTAGACTGGAATCAAAAGATAAAATAAAACAAGCCGGATGATTATAGATACCGGTGTCTGATAATAGACTCTTCCATAAAATAGGTGTGTTGGGTTGTTAGTAGTATTGTAATCTCAAATTTTATGGTGAGAAATTAGGGTTAGGCGTTAGGCATATGGTGGGACCAGGGTTGGGTTTAGGGACAGGGTTAGCATTGACATTAGTCAGCCATGTGTTTATTTAGTAGTATTACTCGCTAACTTGGAGGCGTGGTCGGTTGCTAACAACAATATGGCGCCCGGACCGGACGCTTGACTTCCGACGATTTTTCGGCCAAATTCCAGAGACCTTCTACTAATTAGTTTTTAAAATGTTTACCACGCGCAAAATGGCGGGACTTTCACGTTATAACAACAAGCTATAGGTGGCAGGGCTATATATGCCAGAAAAGCATTTTAAAATTTGCGTTGGAGAATGAAGGCTAAATTTAAAAGTTGGTTTCATCAAAAATACTACAACTTTTTAAATATCGATTTCCATATTACAAAATTGATTTCCATACTAAAGCATTATTAGTTTTATCAGTCTATGAAAAAATAAATCAAATATTGTCAACCGTTTTTTTATTAGACCAGCCGAGAAAATGACAACCAAATTTTTTTTGAAAAAAAAACCACGTGACCACTATTTGGTGATCACTAGTGAGGAACTCTTGTGCATGGCCACTTAAAAAGTCTAACTTGATTTGTGGTTTTCTTTAGCTTCAAGCTTAAGAAGAGTTGTCATGGAGAGATGTGTTGGACATGGCAGTGATTGACAATAAATATTAAATTAAGTAATTTAGTTTAAAACGAACTAAAAACTCCAAAGTTAGTGCCTAATGGATTAAATATGGATGTCTATTATTCAGTGGTCATGTTTAAATTGATAATTGCGTAAATTCTAGATTTAGTGAGAAAAACTATTATTTAGTTCTACCAGTTACCTAATACCACTTTTTTAAAGAAGAGATTCCATTATCGGACACCGGTATAAACATTCTCCCGTAGATCCTCTTTCTTTTTTAAGTAATGTTAGTTTCACCATCTCCAAACCCTTTTCTACTGTAGGCTTTGATCTGCATTCTACATTAGGCTTCATATTTTAATGTTTCCCACTAGATAGGCCCTAGCCCTAATGTTGGCAATCACTTAACCTTACTCTACTTGGCCCTACTACTTGTTAAAGCACTCAAGTGTTAAGTCCTATTATAATAAAGTGTAACCAGTAAGCCCTACAATAAATATTTTTGAAGCAGTTATGTTCTCATAGGGGTATTGACCAGGTTATGGGAGGTTAAGTATTGTGCTGGTGATAGATCTGTCTTATTAATACTGGATTTTATTAATAATGCCTTGATATTTTTTACTGCAATTTTATAATTCTAATATTTAGTAAGCTTATTTATTAAGCTTTAAAAAAAAATGTTTTAAGACCACTTAAAATTGCTGCTTAATTAACCTACTTAGCTATACACCCTCATTGATTAAGAAGAATTTGTTGTTAAAGAGTGGTAGTTAAAAATGCTACTTTTTATGTTCGCACAACGAGGGGATGAGTTTTGGGTTATTTTTGTTCCATGATCCTGGCTCTTTTTTGTTTTTGCCTTATATTAATTCCTACTATTTATTTGTTGGATATGATTCTTGAAATCTAGTCTTAATGTCAGAATAGTCTGCTAATATATTCTGTTTGCATTGTAGAAGTGGTGATTTAAACTTTAAACCTTATTGTTCCAACTAAGGTAAGGTTTTTAGCTTATTTGCTCGGCATATGTTTGTTTAGGATATTTTTACTTCTTTGAGTTCTGGATGACTTATTTAGTAAAATCTGCTTTTGTCCAATCATAAGGTTAGGAATTAAGAGACAATTTTATCCCATTTTGTGTTATAAGCTACAAAGTAAATTCAATAGCTGATTAATAAGATCTAAGTTCAGTGTTTTCTCACACTGATTTTTATGAGTACATTGAAACTATCCTTAAAGATTTTGTGGTTGCAATTTTTTTTGACATTCAAAGTATAATTTGCTTTTTTATCATTGCTTCAATGGTTTCAAGAGATACATATGCGTTTTTTAACCGGAACATTGTAATGCATTTTTTGTTATTGCTGGGTTTGGTGATATCTAGTTTTTTTAAATCTGGCATTGTAATGTAACAGAATTGTTTTATTTAAATGTGTAACAGTGATATTTTTTAGCATTGTGCTTTTATTGCTAGTGAAATATTGATTGCTATATGATTATAAACATTATCTACTGTTACAAGTATAAAAAAGTAAATTGCAGTATCGTTCAGCTAAATATATTTACACCATTTTGTAATTGTAGAGGTAGTTTAAATGCCCTAACGAAATTTTAAGTACTACAATATTGTGTAATAATGCTTAAATTATTAAAAGAGCTGCTAGTATAATAAGTTATTTATAAAACATGAACGCTGGTTAAAACATAAATGCTGGATATTCTGTCACAGCAGTGACTACAATCAAGTCCTTTCAGTTAAGTCACAGAATCTCAATGTATATTAAGCTAACAATACTTAATAATTTCACATAGATTATAACATCCCGATCTTCTCTAGCTACAATCATTTTTTAAATTTTCAGAGCCCTTGGTGTGGCACTCAGAAACCATTGAGTCAAGATTATTGGCACATAGAAGCGACACCACTTCCAACGCGTATATGAAGTTCACAGTCCCCCAGGAACATCTGAGTAAAGTTGACAGCAGTATTCATAGGAAACGTAGACCAATATATATAAACACTCGGCAACCATGTCTTTCAACATTGACAGAAGCAACACAGATCCATTCTACCGCTATAAGATGCCTCGGCTCATAGCTAAGGTAGTTATTTAAAAAAAATTTTTACTGATTTTTTGTAACATAGTAGCATTTTGGCTGTTTTTATAAAATTCTTTGGGCTTTTATTTTTAAAAATCCCAATTAAAAACATTCTCTTAACATACTTTTCTAAAAATAAATTGGTTAAGCTCGCGTTGACTGGAAGTTTTTATGGGGTTAAACAAGACAAGTTACCTTATATTTTCTGTGAATACAATAGAAATAGTGAAGTTAACAGCACCATGATATTATTCTGACAGCTCATTGCAATTGAACTGAAAGGCTTTTGTATCTATGACTTGGACAGGCATGGGTTAACTTAGAATTGGTTAAATATGGATAAAAATAATTTTTAGTTGTTAAACTATATTCACTAAATCTTCAAAAACTAACATTTTATCTGGCGATAAGGTCTGCAATAATATATTTTTATATACATCTCTTAGGTAGAGGGAAAAGGTAATGGCATAAAAACTGTGATTGTCAATATGACAGATGTGGCTAAAGCATTATCCAGGCCTCCTACCTGTAAGTAAATTTCTTGTATCATTTAAAAAAACTTTTCTGTACATATTACCTTTAAATTTAATTAAAAATAATTTACTGCCTTTTCCTTAATATAGAATTAAACTTTTTATACAGATCCTACCAAGTTTTTTGGCTGTGAACTGGGTGCTCAAACCCAGTTTGACTCTAAAAATGACCGCTACATTGTGAATGGCTCACATACTGATGAAAAATTGCAAACTTTGCTGGATGGGTTTATTAAAAAATTTGTCCTCTGCCCAGAGTGTTCAAATCCAGAAACTAACCTTGTATGTACTAGTTTACATTAGTGATTAATAATAGTAATAAAATCTGTTTGAAGGTTTTGAAGGTTTTTATAATTGATTGCAGGTTGTACAAGTGAAACGTGGATCTATTCTTCAGAGATGTATTGCCTGTGGATACAATGGCTCAGTAGATATGAGACACAAGCTCACTACTTTCATTCTTAAAAATCCTCCTGACCAGGTAGGTCATTTTCTTATTTAAACCTGAATCTGTCCTAGTGATTATTGATTGAATGCAAGTTTGTAGAGAGTTCAAATTATTTGAGTTAACTCTTTAGGTTGAAACATTTCCAGTTCTATAATTGTACAATTTTAATTTAAAGGATCCTAATGCTGCTACACCAAATAAAGGAAAAAAGGGCAAAAGAGAGAAAGGTGGTAAGGAGGATGAAAAGGATGGTGTCAGCCCAGATGCAACCCCAACAACAGCACAAGAGCAAATGGCTGCAATGAGAGAATCAGGAAACATGATGAGCCTTCCTCCTACAGTATGTTACAAGTGAAAATAACATTAGTTTTGTAAATAATACATAATGTATATAATTTGCTGAAGTATGATGAAACTTATGGATTCCCCTTCATATTGTTAGTGAATGAATTCTATTTTCTGACTTCTCATTTACTGTCAGTAGTAGTTTTTAGAAAATGTTCACCATTAAGTTATGTTCTTTTTTCTATCCAATAACTATTAATGTTTTTTGTGTGTATAAAATCAGAAACAGAAAGGAGATGAAGATGATGAGGATTGGGGTGATGAGTTTACTGAAGAAGCTATTAAGCAAAGAATGGAACAGCTATCGGATGCTGCAAAAGGGCTTGCCTTTACTGATGACCTGGAAAAGCCTGCTGAAGAAAGATTAAACATTATTTATGAATTGATCAAAGTATGTATTTTTATATAAACACTATTTCCCATTAACTAATTCTATAACATTGCATTGTATATAATTTTGATTGATTATGTTATTGTTTTAAACTTACCAGTTAGTCAAAAGTTCAGTCAGGCTTGTATGTGAGTGATTATCTTTTCAAAATAATGCATGTACTACAGTTAAGTGCTTATTTTGGTTCATTTAGATTAAACGTGATGATGACGAATTGACTAAACCAGCTGCTATTAAAGAAGTTTTTTCTGAAGCTGAAAGATTGGAGGTCAAAGATAAAGTACCCTTGGTGCTTGTAGAATTGCTTCTTAATGAGAAGGCAATAACACAGCTCCAAAAATATAAAGGACTTTTTTTAAGGGTAATTAGAGCAGTTTTTATGTAATCTTATTATTTTCGCTTGTTTTCATTACTTGTTTAGAACAAAAATGATGAAATAAGATTGGATTCCCCTTCATATTTTGTATGAGTGACTTCCATATTCTGAATTTGATCCAGTTTCTTTTCACAACTCAGCCCATTTTTTTTTTCCCAAAGTCCTACATTAGAATTTTTTTTTCAGTTTTGTGTTCAAAATCAAAAAGCCCAGAAAGCACTTTTAGGTGGACTTGAAATACTAATTGCTAAAGAGTACCCTGACTTGATGACAAAGACTAGTCACATTTTGAAAGTTTTGTATGATCTGGACATTTTAGAAGAAGCTGTAATTTTGGAGTGGGGTAAAAAGGTTTGTTAAGTTTTTTTGGCTTTAATTGTCTAAGAGAGGAGCACTTCATTGTGCTTTTTAGATTTGAGGTATGAAGAAAATATTGGATTCCCCTACATAATGATTTTGATTGAATTCATTTCTCTGACCTCATCTCTAAGTACCTTTCAAACTAAAAGTATGTGCCTTTACATTTTTTTAAAGACCTGGTAACTTAGAAAATGAATTATACTATTTTTAAAAATTAAAAGCAAGCACATCATTATAGGCAGCACTTTTTTTTACATCTCATGTTTAGCCAACAAAAAAGTATGTTAGCAAGGAAGAAAGTACTCAGATATTGAAAGAAGCCCAAGTATTTGTCAAGTGGCTAGAAGAAGCTGAAGAAGAGACTGATGATGATGATGAAGAAGAGGAGGGAGATGTTGAGGTAACTAAATATGAAATAAGTATTTCAATAAACTCAATTTTAGTTAAAAACTAATCCATTTCTAATCATCTTAACCATTTTACTGTATTATATTAATACAGCTTTTACTATTTCAGTTAAATTTAAATTTTATTTTTGCAGATAATTTATTCTACCACCCAAAAAGTTGGTGAAGTTACTGTAGAGCCTACTCCTGCTCCAGCTGTCAATGGGGGTAAAAAACCAGTTAATGCTGCTGCCGAAGAAGATGATGAAGATGATATTGACATAGATGATATTTAAACAAGTGATTTAGCTTTTGGACTTTACTATTATATACATGGGCTGGCATAATCTTTAGTTTGGTGGTTCTTTGTATCATCTGTATGAGGTTGTGACTGGCCACAAATTTATAATTTTAAATTGAAAATTTATAGCTTTCATTGATAAAGCAAAAACCTGTGAGATAATTGGTAAAGATTTTTGAGTATAGACATTCTAATACAATTTTTCCCTCTATTTTGATAGATGCAAAAATTATTTTAGAGTACTTAAATGTTTTCTTTTTATTTATTTCATTGGTAAAATGTTTCTGCATCTTCATTTTAATATGATACACTTAATTTCCTTTCTGGAAAGGTAGGGTGTAATTCTCCTGGAAATCATTTTAATGATGCAATGTTTTCTTCTCAAATTGGATCAAAATACTTGATTTTTCATTTGAATATTGTAGTCATAATCATAAGCGGCCATTAATTTTGTTGTTTCCTTTTGCAAAGTTTAGCATTTCATAAATATTGTTAATATTTTACTATTTGACATTGCTAAAGTATCTTAAATTTATCAGTTTTGTTTAGAATTTAGTGAACTTTTCAGCAACATATACATGTTCCACCTATATTTAACATCCAGCAAACAAGCAATGCAAATAATCTGGATCATCCCAAAATATACATGTCAAGTTTTTTCATCACTACTTGACTGTCAGCAAAACATTTATTAAAACTTAAAAATGAATAACTGCTGTTCTTGTTTTCTGGATTCCGATGTTTAAGTAATCTTGTTGCTAATTCCTTTGTTTGCAGCAAAATTAAATTGCTTTGATTTCATCTCATCCTTTTTGTGGTTTGATTGGTTTTATTTGGGAAAGTTTCTTAAGTCATACAAAATGAAAAAAAAGAAAAAAAAAAGCAACCCTTACTGAATCATACTTGATAGTCATTGGATGTTATAACATGATAAATATATGTACTAGCTTTACAGATGTTGCATTTTGAAAACTGCGCTTGTGTAGTATCTGTAAGTGAATACGTGTCAAGTGTTTAAACAGCAGTTTACCTTAAGCTGGAACCAATAAATTTATAAAAACATTTATCTAGACTTATGATTTGTCTTGTAGTAATTGTTTTTAGGCATGTTAAAAAAAATATCCCCTGACTAAACGGGTTGCAGTGTTGGAAGTTAGATATGAAAAGTGAACAAGTTCTTATTTAGGTTACTCTTGAGTTTAAATTTCACAAGTGACAAGTTTTTTCAAAATACAAGCTACCTCAATTTTGAACTAGATCTACATCCAAGTGATGGTTTTCAAGTAATCTTCCATTTATGCACTGTCTCGCGGTAAAATATTAATTTAACCGATAGTCTGATGGGTAAAAATAACTGACTTACTGTCTAGTTACATCAGTGGCTCACCTGATTGTTAATTTGACAACTAATATAACTGGCGTTAATTAAGTCTAAGCAAATCTGGCTGTGCGTAGCATTGATAATTTCCATGTAGACTATGACTGTACAGTACAACCCTTGTCCATGTAGATCTAGATCTAGTATACGTACAAGCCTAACTAATAATTTTTGAAATAAAATAAATCCATAGATAACATTTCCATGCCCATGGTCGATGTTTAAGTCATAGTAATATATCGCTACTTATTTTTAATTAAAACTAAATTTTTATGATTCTACTACTTTTTACAAGCTTTTATTACTACTAGGATACTAGAATTCGCTATCTATATATTGTATATTGGATCTACTAGCGAGATCTATAATAAATATAATAGATCTAAATCTATATATTAAGTTTAATTTAAAGTAGATAAACACTAAAAATCTAGATTGTCTCCTAGTTAGAGATCTAGATATAGATTCTAGATCTAGTAGGCCCTATAGAATACAGATATCACATATCTAATCTAAATCTAGATCATTCTATCTAGATCTAGACCTAGTCTAGCTAGATCTAGCTTAAGAATAATGATTCTACTGACGTAGGCCTAGATTACAAACAAAATTAACCAGTATATTATCTAGAAATCTAGTAGTAGTGCAAGATTTATAAAACTAATCGTATTATCATAATCTATCTAGATCTAGAATCTAATCTAGATCTAGAAGACTATCTAATCTAGATCTAGTATCTAGATTTTGATCTATTCTATAATAGTATTATTATTATTATAGTATAATACTAATAGTCTATAGTCTTGACTTATAGTTATAGAATATAAAGAATAGATCATCTAGCTATCTCTGGGGGATGGGGGGAAGGGGAGATCTAGACTAGAATACACTAGATTCTAGATCTAAATTCTAGATCTAGATTAGATTCTAGGACCTAGGACGATCTCTAGCTCTATAAACTACTACTATGACATCTCCAGGTCTAGATCTAGATCTAGATTCTAGAATTTTTTTTTTACTTTCGTATCATCTATATATATAATTCTCTTCTTCGAGCCGTTAGAAAACAAGCTGCAAACGCTCTCCCTACCTCCCCACCCCTACATGGTTTTAGTGAGCTGTGTTCACTCTAAATGTTTACAAGCAGAGCCAACGATTTTAAACGTAGGGGGGGGGGGGGGGGGGAGGAGGGGGGGAGGGAAGGAAGGGGGGGGGGGGTTATGGTCCTTAACGAGCTACTTATAGTGTTTTAAAGAAATATTTTCAGTGTCAGCGTTGGTACTGTCGAATTCACAAATTATGAATTATTGAAAATTAGAAACAACTAAATAGCGGCGTATGTTATGCCGCGGGCCGGCTCGTTGTAACTAAATTAACAATTTAATGTAATGTAGGCCTAGGAGTCACAAGGACTTTTATCCTAAACCTTACTCTAAACATCTGTGATCTAGACTCGATTCTAGACTCTAGATCTAGAAGATCTAGACTCTAGACTAGATTCTAGATTCTAGATCTAGGTCTACGTATTATGTTGGTGATTAATACATTTTTTTAGCCAACACATTTTTAAACTAAATCTTGATCCAGAATCTAGATCTATATCATAATCATCTAGATCTAGATCTATATAGGTTCTATGCCTAATTAATAAAATATTGGCCCATTTCTTTAATATAAGATAAGAAATAATATTTACTTACATTGCATACAATTGTTTTATCATGTTAAGATACTGTACCTACATTTTCTCTCTCAAATATCTGGCCTCTATAGCTCAGTGGCTAGAGCACTGGTCTTGTAAACCAGGGGTCGTGAGTTCAATCCTCACTAGGGGCTACCTTTTTTTTGTGTTGTTAAACATAAAATATAAAATAAATTAAGAAGTTTAATGAATAAAATTAGTTTTTAATTTTAGTTATTTATATCCGAACAGTTCTCATTTTGTTTTTTTGAAAGTATAGTAGAGATACTTAGTCATAAACAAGCCTACATGTTTATTAGCATGGTGAGGGGTGAAAGCAGGCGTTGTGACTGAAATAGCAATGTAAACAGAAAGTGTTATTTCAACGCCAAGGGTAGACAAAGGTACAGAATATAGTCCAATTTAAGACAGAACAGACAGACCATCGGGTCTGTCTGTTCTGTCTTAACTTGGACTATATTCTGTACCTTTGTCTACCCTTGGCGTTGAAATAACACTTTCTGTTTACATTGCTATGTTTATTAGCAATAAAGCTAAAATTCTTGAAGTCTGACATACTATAACATTTATAATTATTAATAGTCAATAGTATGTCTGAAATTTTAGCTTATTTTACCCTAACCCCGCTCAAACTATGGTAGTGTTTTCAGCTTATTTGCTCGTCATCATGTGTTTGTTTAGGATATTTTTACTTCTTTGAGTTCTGGATGACTTATTTAATAAAATCTGCTTTTGTCCAATCATAAGGTTAGGAATTAAGAGACAATTTTATCACATTTTGTGTTATAAGCTACAAAGTAAATTAAATAGCTGATTAATAAGATCTAAGTTCAGAGCTTTCTCACACTGTTTTTATTTTAATTTTACCCTCACCCCATGTCGTTATGACTACGACGACACTTGATATTTTCGGGGGGGGGGGGGGGGGGGGGGGGGACGACTAAATTTTCCGGAGGGGAGGCGGACACACACTGATAAAAGTATATATTTTATATATGAATTCCATTTCGTTCGGGGGGGGGGGGGGGGGGGGGGAAGGCGGCGCGATAGACTTCCTTCGGGGGGGGGGGGGGGGAAGAGGGAAGAAAAGCGCCCCCCATCCAACCCTGTGTTTTCTGGTAATGGCTGGGATAATTACCTTGGAGGGGGATAGATCCTAAATTGGTGGTGAAGGGGGGGGGAGGGAAAGAGAAAGGCAATTGGATGAAAGGGGGGGGGAGGAAGGGTTGGTTTTCGAATTATGATTACGTGGCTTTGCATCCCTTCCGTCTGCAGACAGCGATGCCTAATTTTATGCGTTTGAATTTTTTTTTTACTTTCGTATCATTGTAACTAAATTAACAATTTAATGTAATGTAGGCCTAGGAGTCACAAGGACTTTTATCCTAAACCTTACTCTAAACATCGGTAACAAGAAAGATTCCTCATAACCAGAGTTATCTAAGTTGTATTGAAGATTTTATCCATATGGCTCTGAATATGAAGTACCAGCACGATGGCCGAGTGGTTAAGGCGTTGGACTTAAGATCCAATGGAATTATTTCCGCGTGGGTTCGAACCCCACTCGTGCTAATAAGTTTTTGAAATATAATTTACTGAATTTTTACTTTCTTGTGTACGGATTATAGTGGAAGTATTTTTATCATGCACAAAATTAAAGTCGAGATTTTGTCAATTTTTAAAATGAGTTTATTATATTATTGTAGTTTTCTTTCAACTTATGACCAGTTTTCGCTAAACTAAGTACTACTTACTATACTTCTGGTAACAAGTCAATAATTAGAGAACCGTTCAAGTTAGGTGAACGAATATTCAAACTCAAGTATTAAAATGCATTCGCAGGTTTATCAACTTTTGAACAGAAGTAGTATTTTATTTCCGAGAGACCATGCTAAATTGTCTAATGTTTCAGTTAGGTGGAAGAAATTTCATATAAACTTATACAGTCTTATACTTGTATTACTTTCAATTTTTAAGTGGTCTCCTAATACCGGTTTCTAAAGTTTGAGTACCATTTCATTTAGGATGAATACACACAGTTAACATGATGATACTAAACATAAACAACAAAATATTTCAGTTTTGGTAATATATTATGTAATATGTAATATATGCGAATTAAAAAAAAAACAAGCTTAAAAGTTTTAAAAAATTAAAAACAGTGTTTCTTCCAGACTTTTTTCTCCGGGGGGGGGGGGCACTTGAAATTTTTTTGGGGGGGGGGGGGGCGGTAGACTTACTTGGGGGGGGGGGGCGGACACTGTTAAAAGTATATATTTTCTATATAAATTATATAAATTTCATTTCGTTTAGGGGGAGGGGGTAAAAAAAATTTCGGGGGGGGGATGCCTGGAAGAAACTCTGTTTAAAAGGCAGTTAGAATCTAGGTGTAGGTACTAGATAAAAACGTTAGAGCTCGTTCTTTACATCTGTCTCTGGCTCATCCTCTGCCTGGGGTTCCTCAGTTTGGGTGTACTCAACAGGATCGCTCGGGAGTTGGTCCAAGTCGTCTTTAGGCGAGAGCCTCGGGGTGGGCAGGTTGTTCATGCAGCGGCAGAAGCTGGGCACCTTGACGTAGGAGAGGGTCAACTGGTCGGGGCTGCTCAGCGGGTACCTGGGGTTGAGGGTCACGGCGCTCATGATGATAGTGATGATGGTACAGCCGCATCCGCATGTGCAGGTGTTGCTTGTTCTAGTAGGGTGGAAACGTAGTTTTGGTAAAGAAGCGTTTCACCCCCCAGTCACATGCACTGACACACACACAAATATATACACATGCACTCTCTCTTACACACACTCACACACTTACACACACTTACACACACTTACACACACACTCACGAACACACACACACTCATACTCACACATACTCAGTCTCACACACACACACTCATAAACCACTGATGCACTCACGCGTTACACGCACACACTGTACACAGACAACGCTTACACACCACAATCCCAATTGTACACGTGCGCGTAACACCACACTAACACACTACTGGTGCATGAACACAACACCTTATGCTTTCACCAAATTCATTCACCACACTCACACAAGCTACCCTCACACTCACACAGCACACTAACACACTGCAGATGTATGCACACAACACCTTATGCTTTCACCAAATTCATTCACCACACTCACACAAGCTACCCTCTCACTCACCCATCACTCTCACACACTACACTCACACACTACACTACGCGCACATACACTCACAACTACACCTTATGCATTCACCATACTCATACACCACACTCACACAAGGTACCCTCACACACTACACTACACTACACTACACTACACTACACTACACTACACTACACTACACTACACTACACTACACTACACTACACTACACTACACTACACTACACTACACTACACTACACTACACTACACTACACTACACTACACTACACTACACTACACTACACTACACTACACTACACTACACTACACTACACTACACTACACTACACTACACTACACTACACTACACTACACTACACTACACTACACTACACTACACTACACTACACTACACTACACTACACTACACTACACTACACTACACTACACTACACTACACTACACTACACTACACTACACTACACTACACTACACTACACTACACTACACTACACTACACTACACTACACTACACTACACTACACTACACTACACTACACTACACTACACTACACTACACTACACTACACTACACTACACTACACTACACTACACTACACTACACTACACTACACTACACTACACTACACTACACTACACTACACTACACTACACTACACTACACTACACTACACTACACTACACTACACTACACTACACTACACTACACTACACTACACTACACTACACTACACTACACTACACTACACTACACTACACTACACTACACTACACTACACTACACTACACTACACTACACTACACGCACGCACACTCACACAACCAAACACACAAGTTACCCTACCACGCGTTACTCACACGTCACACTCACAAACTACTCTCACACACTACACTACGCGCACGCACGCACACCCACTCACACACCACACCTTATGCATTCACCATACTCATACACCACACTCACAAAAGCTACCCTCAAACACCACACTTACGCTTCATGCTCACAAACTGCACGCACGCACACGCCACACGCTACACTCGCACATTGCACGCACACATCACACCTTATACATTCACCATGAACATACACCACACTCACACAAGCTGCCCTCACACACCACACACACCACATTCACACACTACACGCATACACCCTACTCACACACAATACCTCATACATTCCCCATACCCATACACCACTCTCACACACGCACACATAATACAATATATAGCCTCTTACACACAAGTTTCTGTAAGAAAAACCTGCTGTCGGTTCGCAAAGTTCACTAGTGTGACCAGCACACCTTCTACGTCATACAGACGTGTGTAGGTTCTGTAGGTTGCATTGCTGAAAAAGATTTACAAAATTGCTACCTCAAATGTATTTGTTACGTACTTTTAATAAGAAAAAAATGTGTTGATAAATAACACGTGTTCTATAAAAACACAAGAGAGGTGGATGTGAAAAAATAAACTGGTTTTATAAACTGTATATTGTATATTCTTTGGAATCGGCTAAGCTGAGCTTACTGGAGATGACGACGGACGTGTAGATTGAAGGAGGTTTACTTAACCCAATTACTATAATATTATACACGCTGATAATAGTGATAATGCTAAACTCTTTCGGTCACTTTAATTCACTTAATTGTTACACTTTTAATGCTACACTGTATCCAGAGGCGTAGCGAGGGGGGGGACATATGTCCCCGGGCGCCGACCTTAGGGGGGGGGGCGCCAAAATGGGTTGGATTGGAAAAATAAATTGAAAGTTCGAGGGGGGTGCAAATGGAAAGTTTAAGGGGGGGGGGGGGTGCAAAACGAAGTTTGAGGGGGGGGGGTGCAAATAAAAAGTTCGAGGGGAGGGGTGCAAATCGAAAGTTTGTCCCCGGGCGCCGGGAAGAGTCGCTATGCTTCTTACTGTATCCCTAATCTTAATTTAACTTAATTCGTTGAACCTTGTTGAACTTAAAAAGCCGCGTGATAGTTGATTATTACTTTTGCTTAATTTTCGTGGCTGCTTTTTCTTTTCACTTGTCTTTGCTCGAAAGCTGTAGTCCTACTCATTTTCATGTGAAGGCCTTTAAAAAAAAATCTGTTAAGGTGGTTTGTTTCTTCCTTTGGTGTTGCGGAATTTAGCTAAACTAAGTCATTAAATAATTGCAATCCACGATCAGTTGCAACTTTTTACTCCGTTTACTCGTATCTCAAATATTTTGCTCGTAACTCTAAGCAAAAATAAGCAAAAAAATCGCACCCACGACTGCTCGTAACTCGGAAATCTCCTATCTTGGAACACTCGTATGTCGAGGAACCACAATATATATATATATATATATATATATATATACACATATGTTACGGTCAAAGCCCGAAGTGCGGCCAAACCCCGGATTGGCCGGCCAATCCGCGCATTGGCCGGCTCTCTTGGCCAAAGCCCGAAGAACTTAGCACTAAGATCGTATTTCGTACATTGGCCGGCCAATGCGCGCACTGGCCGGGACGTACTGGCCAAAGTCCGAAGCGCTTAAACTTGACAGCGTATTTTGTACATTGGCCGGCCAATGCGCGCACTGGCCGGGATATCCTGGCCAATGTTCTATCTAGACTAAGTTGTGATCGCATTTTCATTATTCTGGGTGCGTTTTCATTGAGAGTAACGTATTGTTTAGCTCTTGTTTGTATAGCATTCTATATGCAAGGCGACATGGATCAAAAGGGCAGTCAGACCATGAGACAGACATAGCAGATGGCTGTCAAAAGAAAAAAATGTAAATCCATGTTAGTTTCCATATATGGGCTCTCGATAAAATAATTACTGAGGAAGATCTTGAGAACATTGAACAAGAAATGGAGGTTGCCATAAATGCAACGACATCCTCAGCTAACACATCTACTGCCGTGGCGGAACGCCCAGACCAGTTGCGTGACAATAATGTGGCCAACATCTTCACAATCATTGACTGGGGGCCAAGGCTACACTCGCTGCAATTACACAACTAAGTGCACAACAAATTGCTGCAAGTGTAAAAATAAGAAGCTGCTATATCATTCTAAATGCCATAAAAGTTCAACTTGTTGTAACAAATGATGATATTGATAGATTGAGACTATAGTACAATAAAAAATTTGAATGTTTCTGTCATTTACTTTAATTTTTTAAATTAATAATCAATAAAGACTTAATTTCATGATCCTTACGACATAAAAAAAAAATCTGCTCATAATCTTCTAATTCGGACTTTGGCCGGTCGTCCCTAAACAGATGATCTTCTAATTAAGACTTTGGCCGGTCCACCATGGCCAGTCTGCGGATTGGCCGGCCAAAGGCCGAAATCAAGCAAAGTTTCGGACTTTGACCGACCTATGGGAGGCGATATTAGCCAATGCGCGGATTGGCCGGCCAATCCTAGCATTGGCCGACTTCGGGCTTTGACCGTAACATATATATATATATATATATATATATATATATATATATATATATATATATATATATATATGTGTGTGTGTGTGTGTTTGTGTGTGTGTGTGTGTGTGTGTGTGTGTAATGTATACAGATTTATATTTATCCGGATAGCTGTAATGTCATAATGAGTTACCTGGAATACACAACTTACAATTACATACATCAATAAATAGTCGGGCATAACCCCAGAAAGGAAGAGAATAGTATCGCGAGGCAGGCTTTAGGCTGGAATCCCCAGGGGAAGAGGAATCCCGGAGAAGGACGGTGGAAGGAGAGGCAAGTGTTGCCAGGTTTTTACATGGGCGCAAGATAAAGAAAACTACACACAACAGAGTCCGGTAGAGAGGTGTGGCTGCAGCCCTTTGCTCGTTATGGGTCACCAAAGGAATAAGATAAAGATGACATAAAAAAAGAATAGGGCTGGTAAGTAGGTCACTTACCAGTTCTATGGCTCATGCAGGTTTTATTGAGCCGTAGAACTGGTTGGTGACCTACTTACCAGCCCTATTAGAGCAACAATGACAGAATTGGAATTTTACTGCTAGTTTTAAAACAAATAAAAAAAGCAAAAAGGCTCTTACGATCCACAACATGCGTGAAACATTGTTGCTCTCGCGGTGACCGAGGCTTCTTGATTGGTGGACCAGGTCTGTTTCAGTGTAAAAATAAATAAAAATATCGGGTAAAATATGGAATTAAAACGGGTTAGTGGCGTTACAAGGGGGTGTGGGTGAAGGGGGGGGTCCGCACCAGGTGACACCATTTGAGGTGTGACGCCAAAATTGAAAAAAAAAATAATTTCAGAACAATGTTTTATCCAGTAAAATACATATAATAAAGTATAAAAAAAAATAGACTTGTTTATAACAAAAGTTGTTTATCAATAAAGCTGCTCATATTTATAGTTGCTTATAATAAAGGTTGTATATAATCATGATACCTTAGAATTACGGTTTCTTATAATTAAAGCTTCTTGCAATTATGGCTTCTTACAATCAGGTTCGCTTACAATCATGGCTGCTTATAAATTAAAGTCAACGATCTTAAAAGTTACATAGTGAATATTATCTGTATTTAGCTTTGTCTTCCATTTCAGACCACAAAGGAAAAAAATCAAACTTTTTCTTTAGCCAAACTCACACACGTCACCCACACACCATCCATCGCTACCACACAAACACACAGAGACACACATCCAGAGGCGTAGCGACGGGGGGGGGGGGAGGTACAAATGTACCCGGGCACCGACCCTAGGGGCGCCAAAATGGTTTGGGAAAAAATTTTGAATTATAAATATAAAAAATATATATGGGGGGGGGGGGGCGCAAAATTGAAATTTTGTCCCCGGGCGCCCGGAAGGGGTCGCTACGCCTCTGCACACATCATACACTTACCTTAGTCAATTCCGTGTTAAGGAGATCGAGCTCCTCTCGGGTTTTAAAAAATCCCGGATATTTTCCAACCACTTCCGCTTCCGACCCCATCGGCAGCCTGTGAAAGTGAAAGTGAAACACGAATAAATGACGTCACCTTGTGGGGGGTGGGGGGGGTGGGTGGGGGGGAGGGTTTCGCAATTTTGTGACGAGGTGTCTTCTTATTTCATCTTTGTACTTAATTATAGTTTTGGAAGAGATTCCCTCCAAAACAATTACGTACTTGGTGTCAATTTGTTATGCGCCATATATGCAGTTGATTCGTTTTTAGCCTGACGATGTGTGTGTGTGTGTGTGTGTGTGTGTGTGTGTGTGTGTGTGTGTGTGTGTGTGTGTGTTGCGTTACACTTTATCATTTCTTAAATGCTAGAAACTGAATTTAAGCTATTAGTTCGCGTTTTAGAAAATATTTAAAAAAAAAAAGTTATAATAGAAATTGATTAATGTACTGTACTACGTTGACCGAGCTCACGCTATATTTTAGAAAGAAATTAATGTTTAAAAATAAATGAAACTGCGATTCTGAGGGGGTTGTGAGCTGAGGTGTGACATCATTTTAGGGAGGGGGTCGTTTTTTTTTTTTTTTTTTTTTGCAACAATGTGTGAAGACAGGGAAGAGGAGGGGGGGGGGGGAGGGGGAAAGGTAAAAAATTATGAAAAGAAAGCGTGACGTCATTTATGGATGACTCCTTAGAGCGAGGTCATGTAAATACACAACGAAAAGATTTGAATACTGGAGGCCGACGTGCCTAAGGCTATAGTTTTAGGGGTCATCCATAAATGACGTCACGCTTTTTTTGGCGATTTTTACCTCCCCCCTCTGTCACACGTCGTCACAAATAGCCAGACCCCCCTAAAATGACGTCACACTTCAACCTACAACACCCCTCAAATTGCAGTTGAATTTTTTTAAAAACATCGATATTTTCCCAAAATCTTGTCTAAACTGTTACAATCTATTAAAACAGTTATCTAAAACGCGAAATAACGTCTAAAATTCTTTTTCTAACATTGCTTTTTGATAATGCAAAAATGTGACGTCGCAACATCTGGACACCCCCCCCTCCCCCTCATCACACATCGTCACAAAATTACGAACCCCCCTCCCCCCTACGAGTGTGACGTCATTTATGGATGACCCCTTAACACAACATAAAGAAGCAGCTAAAATAATAACATGTGTGATATCCGCTTGATCAATAACATTTTTAAAAAAAATCCTAATTCTAAATTGATAGAATCTACCTAAGTATGGAAACTGTATCAGCTGGCCAGCAGAAAGATCAAGCCAACTTCTCTAAATGATCGTTAGCACCTTAAATAATGACCACTACAAATATCCAGCGCCATACATCACTGTGATAACAACCAGCACCCTAAATGCCACTAAACACCGCCATCCAGAAAAAACGCGCAACGGAAAAATACGCAACCGAAAATTGCACACACAGAAAAAATGCGCAAATGCAAAGTCATTAATACTTATACACTATACACCCTAACTTGGTCATATTGATGCCACGCTTTGCTAACGTCTTTAAATTATCGATTAAATTATAAAAAATAAACATTCTTATGTACACTTTTTTACTCAGTTTTCGTTCGCGCATTTTTCTGGCTACCGTGTCTATAGAATAAACGAACTCAATACTTACGCAAATTTTTTGGAGCTGCATTGATGTACCGCCAGAAGAAACAGAAGAATCTGCAACATTTTCATCTGTGGAGAGGAAGTGAGAGTAGACATTTTTTTTTACAATAAAAGTAATGGCATCGGCCTGATTTACTGAAATACTTGATCGTTATTGTTGACATAGAATAAACACCTGCTTTTGTGTATGTACATTTCATACCTTACATTTAAAAAAAGTATAAGAATTTAAAGCTTAAACCAAAGGAGGAAATAAAATATTCAAAACGTTTATATTGTAAAAGTAATGCAGATAAGTAGACATTATTTTTTGAATTTTTGAGCCTACATTTCCGCTCTTAGCTTTCTTCAGATTAAATAGGTATTTACAGTCTGGTTTTTGGGTAAGCGATATATATATATATATATATATATATATATATATATATATATATATATATATATATATATATATATATATATATATATATATATATATATATATATATATATATATATACATACATACATACAAATATATATATATCTATATAATATGTGTGAGTATATATATATATATATATATATATATATATATATATATATATATATATATATATATACATATAACATATATATATATATATATATATATATATATATATATATATATATATATATATATATATATATATATATATGCATGTATAGGCTACAGACACAGAGTATTGTTTTTTCTTATTAAATTTTTAAACAAACCGTAGTTGTTTGGAAATATATCATCATACAAATGAACAAGTGATTAACATCATTGCAGTTTTATTCCTGGGGAAAAATGGCTCATAGTACTCCGCCGGATACGGAGCACTTACAAATTTCCTGTCGTGAGTTGTTGTTGACGGTCTTCCACTTCAATCTGAAGTACTAGGGTACTATGATCGTTCGCAGGCGCTCACGTAAACCTAAACTAGATTCCGCCATTATATACGCGAAGCCTCAACTAGAAAGTAACATAAGACACAGCACTTGAATCCAATACTAGAATCCACCGTCAGAATTCACCATTGAGGTCGTACGGATCCACCACTAGAATCTATCCTAAAGTCTTTCCAATATAAATCCCTTCTAGTATCCATTTTCAGTGTTTCTTCCAGACTTTTTTGTCCGGGAAGGAACTTGCAATTTTCGGGGGGGGGGGGGGGGGTAGACTTCCTTCGGGGGGGGGGGGGGGGGGCAGTCACTGTTAAAAGTATATATTTTCTATATAAATTATATAAATTTCATTTCGTTCGGGGGGGGGGGGGGGGGCTTTAAACTGATGCCTGGAAGAACCTCCACTTTCCTGATAAGGACGTTTCTAGCTCAGTTAGACAGACCTTTATTCAAAGATACCCGTGTCATTGCCACGTTTTGGCCTCTGTTGTCTGAATAGAATCCACTATATAAATCCAACACTTGAATCCACCACTAGAATCCTCGATTTAAAATCCACCATTAGTTTCAAGCACTAAAATCAATCACCAAGGCCAATGAAGGATAAGTGGTATCATTGACTTGTCACTGTAGGCGGTCCTTGGAACGTGCCACGGATTTTTAGCATCTAATGAGAACTCATATATATATATATATATATATATATATATATATATATATATATATATATATATATATATATATATATATATATATATATATATATATATATATATATATATATATATACATATATATATATATATACATATACACAGAGCACCCCCTATAAATACGTTAAGAAAATTGAAAATGAAGCGAGGGTGATCTCCCCTAAACCTTCTCGTATATTCCAATAGGGGGATGGAACTTCCACGGCTATAGAAATGTTGTTTTTTAAATAAATTAATTACATGCTTTAATTTAACTTACTTCCTCGTTCTTTTTATTACAAGCTTTTATTTAACTTGATTCCTTTGTTTTTTGTTGTGATTCTTCCGTCATAGATAAGAATTTCGACCATTTCTAACTGGCCAATTACTTTGAAACTTGGCACGTGTGGCGTGGGTCAAGATCCGACGATAAATTTGACTTAATTAGATGTTAAATTAATTTCTTTACGAATCAATTAAAGTTTTCTACATAAAGTACTATTTTCCGCGCTATTCATGCAATTTTATTGTATTAAAAAAATTAAGTATTGAAAAAAAAAACCCGAATTAATAACAAAAACTTTTATACAATCATGCACCACTATTAAAATAACTATAAAGAAAAGCGTGGGTTACCATATTATTTATTGAATATTGTTACAAAAATACTCAAATTTAATGAGCGACCCACGCTTTAGTTATCTAAATGGTGGAGCATCATTTTCTTCGTTTTGTGCTGAATTATATAAAAGAAAAAACAATTGCGCACCAAATGAAAACAAACAGTGTGAGTATATTAAAATGGAAAATAAGCACTTTCTAAATAAAGCATTAATTATCTTTTTTACAAGCTTTTATTTAACTCACTTCCTCTGTCGACAGTCTGTCGACAGTCTGTCGTCAGTCTAGATCGAAACGCAGGAGTGAAAATTCGGAAACTTCTACTTGACCGATACGATTCACATTTGGCACGTGGGTCAAGACATGAAGACAATGCAATCTGAAACTAAATTTGACTTAATTGGATGCCTAATTAATTTTTTATGAATTAATTAAAATTTGGACCGAATTAGTAGACATGTCTATCCAACCACACCACACGCTTCATCACGTTTAATAGCTGCGCCATCAGGTTTAATAGCTGCGCCATCACGTTCAATAGACGCGCAATGGTTTTTAGTCATGTAACACTATTGTAAATAAAATATGTAAAGTACTGAAAAAAAATTCATAAAAAAACGTTTTAATAACAAGCTTTTATGTACTAATGCACTAAAAAGTAGAAAATAAATTATACACTACTATTTAAATTACTATAAAGAAAAGCGTGGGTCTCTTCTCAAATATTAGTAAAGGTATCCAATAGGTACTAAAGTGACCCACGCTTTTCTTTATAGTAATTTAAATAGTAGTGTATAATTTATTTTCTACTTTTTAGTGCATTTTTAAAAACTTGTTATTAAAACGTTTTTTATTAATTTTTTTTTTATGAATTTTTTTAAGAATCGGAAATAGCTTAAAGTACTACTAGTCACCACAAATCACTTAAAAAATCACATATAACAGCGAATAAGATCTCATACCTATGTATGAAATTTCGTCTAGCTGACTGAAACATTACTTTAAGTTATTTGGCATTTTAACCCGTGAGCTGGCAGGAACTGGATGCAAAACACAATTACATTAACAGCTATGCAATGGGCGAAAATAACCCTTAATAGCTGCGCATTGGGCCCAGATTACCCTTGTAGCCTTATTCTTCTTACCACGTGATCGAGAGATTGCGGTTGGGGCGGATCGTCATGGGTTGAGGGTTAAATTCAAAGTTATCTAGTATAGTGTAGTTGTAATTTTTTATACGAGCCGACCCGCGGTGTATCATACGCGACGCCGCTATTTAGTTGTTTTATTTTCTACTTTTCAGTAATTCATAATTTGTGAATTCGACACTACCAATGCTGCCACTGAAAATATTTGCTTTAAAACACTATCAGTAGGTCGTTAAGGACGATAAACCCCCCGCCCCCTACTCTCCTTTCCCCCAACCCCTACCCTACCCCCCTCCACCCCCGTGAAAGCAGCCTCCTTAGTTACCTCCTGTAAGTTTAAAATCGTTTCAAACTAAATTATCTGCCCCTCATAGCCGTCACTAAACCCGGCTCTACGATTGTAAACATTAAGCGTGAACCACAGCTCACCAGACCATGTAGGGGTGGGGTGGTAGGGAGCGCGCTTACAGCTTGGTGTTTTCTAGGGTATCCAAGAAGAGAATTATATATATATATAGATAGTATATCTAGTAAAGAAATCTAGTCTGTAAGAAAAGCAAAACATCATTAGAAAATGTATTTTAATAGCTTATTTAAATATATCTAAATTTTTATCGTGTTAATCCCTGTTCCATCAAGACAACACATAGGCCTGAATAGCGAACATTTAGATGACAAGAAAAACCACGTTACCGTAGCTCTATTTTGTAAACATACGCGATCAAGCTGGGTACCAACCAGAAAGTAGGACGACGTCCCGCGGCTGTGGGTGGGGGAAGTAAGGCCTGGTGAGAGCGAGAGGCGTAGCGACCCTTCCCAGCGCCCGGGGACAAACTTTCAATTTGGCGCCCCCGGGACAAAATTTCAATTTGGCGCCCCCCCCCCCCCAAATAATTTTTTATATTTATAATTCAAAACTGTAGCTAAAATGAGCCATTTCAGCGCCCCCTACGGCCGGCGCCCGGGGACATATGTAGTGTTTCAAACCAACATCTTCGTGAGACTGTTCCAGTGCACAATTTACCAGTTAGTTGGAGTTCACTGCGTCGAGGCCTGCCTGGCTAATGGGAGTCCAACTCCTGAGCGGGTATATCCGTGTAACGATAGTAATTTTAGAATCAATATTTAAATAAATTACCACTTCAGGATATTGGAAGTCACTTAAAAATTGAAAGTGATTTATTATGAAATTTCGTTTACTTAACTGTAACAATTCTCTCTCTCCCTCTTTCTCTCTCTCTCACACACACATACACATGCACGCACACAGACACACAAACACACACACAGAAGAACAGGATTGTTTCCGGCAGGTTCAGTGTTTGTTCCAGACTTTTTTCTCCGGGGGGGGGGGGGGGGGGCGGGGGGCGGGGGGCACTTGGTGGTCTACATTTTCCAGGGGGGGGGGGGGCTGGAAAAGTATAAAAAGTATGTTTACTATATAAATTCCAACTCGTTCGGAGGGTGGGGGGATAGACTTTATAAATCCCTCCCCCCCCCCCCCCCCCCCCCCCGAAGAAATGCCAGGAAGAAAATCTGGGCAGGTTGTAACCCGTCAAGCTTTGTCAAAATCTCGATTTATTTTTTTCCTCACATCTTTTATGTTCCGTACATGATAAAGTAGGGTGGTGTAATACGACGAATACTGTCCCAATTTTACTTATTTTTTGTGCACGATTACAATTCTTTCTTTATACTCTGCATACAAGAAAGAAAAAAAAAACAGACCTGAACGATTAGATTTGCATTGTCTTTGTTTTTATAAGCTAATAAAAAATCTTCTCGAATATATATATATAATACAAAGTTTAGTCGACGCGTAACATTGAAATAATAATAATAATAAAAAAATTTCATTTAACTGGATTAAATATAAGAATGTAAATAAACACTTACCTTATATAATGCACACTTGTGAGAAAAGGGACACGACTCTGTTCTGTCCTTTAAACAACAAGACCCACGAACATTAACCCTTTCCTTTGTGAAAAAAAAATCTAACATCCTGTTTGTCTGCTTTACTTGATTGTATGTAAGATATGGTCCGCGGCAGTATAAAATTGAAACATTTTTTTAGTGGTCTAGGTGACAAAACGTGGGTTAAGGTTGCGTGACACAGTTTTCCTATTGTAGGCCTACACATTCCCACCTTCCTACACAACCCGGATAGTGTGGGATGGTTTTTCGTTTTGGTATATTGTTACAGAGGATAGAGAGTGATACGGAGCAGTGGCGTGGTAGATTTTGTCACCCGGGTTGGGCTCGGTTTTATCCGTTTATGTATAGAAGCCCTATTTTGTCTATATTAATATCTATTTATTACAAAATTTTACTCAGTTTACAACGTCCTTTTGTGGTTTTGTGGCAAATTTTGTAACTCAATTTGGACCTGTTTCTAATGCTGCGGTTTCGTTAAAAATTTTCAGATGCTCTCAGTCTCTAGCCAGAAGTATCAGGGCTAGGTGGACTCGGGGGGGGGGGGGGGTGGGCTCCGTCTCTAGCCAGAAGTATCAGGGCTAGGTGGACTCAGGGGAGGGGGGGGGGCTCCGTCTTTAGCCAGAAGTATCAAGGCTAGGTGTACTCTGGGGGGGGGGGGGGGCTCTGTCTCTAGCCAGAAGTATCAGGGCTACGTGGACAGGGGGGCCCTCCTTCTCTAGCCAGAAGTATCAGGGTTAGGTGGACTCAGGGGGGGGGGCCTCCGTCTCTAGCAAGAAGTATCAGGGTTAGGTGGACTCAGGGGGGCCCTCCTTCTCTAGCCAGAAGTATCAGGGCTACGTGGACAGGGGGGCCCCTCCTTCTCTAGCCAGAAGTATCAGGGCTAGGTGGACAGGGGGGCCCCTCCTTCTCTAGCCAGAAGTATCAGGGCTAGGTGGACTCAGGGGGCCCTCCGTCTCTAGCCAGAAGTATCAGGGTTAGGTGGACTCAGGGGGGGGGGGGCCTCCGTCTCTAGCAAGAAGTATCAGGGCTAGGTGGACTAAGTGGACTTTACCCCAGGAGTAATTACCCCCTGTCATTTACCCCTTGTGTACCTACCCCTCCCCCACCCTCTCACCCCAAATTTTATATATCATAAAATTCAAATTTATAATTATGAATAAAATGAATAGAAATAAAATACATTATGCATTCCTTTTGCGATAGGACATGGACAGTCTGTTGTGATAGGACATGGACAGTATATTGTGATATGACACAGGCAGTATATTGTGTAGGACATGGGCAGTCTGTTGTGACAGGACATGGGCATTATATTGTGTAGGACAAAAAAAGTTGTGATTGTGTGAGTAATTTGTAAATATAAGAAAAACCTTTGTTTAAACGGCCAATGTGAAAAAAGGCCTTTGTGCCTACAATTGTAACCGTTTTTTGAATAAATTTGAATAAAGTTGAATTTAAATTTGAATAAATTTGAATAAATTTTTTCCTTAATTTTTTTTTTTACTTTCTAGTATACGAAGTACAGAGAAAGTATTGTAATCGTGCAAAAAAAAAATATTTAAGAAATCGAGATTTTTGCAAATCTAGACGTTTTACACCTCCCTGAGTTTTATGTAATATTAAAAAAAAATGTTTATTTTCTTTTATTTGCCGCTATCGTACTTTTTTTTTTGGTGATCGGGAATATCCCTTTGTACTGAAATATACGGGGGATCAACTAAAAGAACGGAAATAACAAAACACAAACAAACTACAATTTAAAACAGTGTAGACACATTTTGCAGACGTGAATCAGTCCATCGTCTTTCGTTCTTTGTTTCTGTAACATGGATTATCCCATACCGTTCGTCTAATTAACGCAAACCAATATACCTACAATGTCTTAATAGCATTGTAGTTTCATACAATTTACATTAGCTTAGGTGAGATGAACTAGAATAAGTCGTTTGTTGGTACAGTTTTTAAGAAGTTAGCCGTAAGTTAATTTAATTCCAGGAATTCAGGCTGTAAAAATGAAAATCGTTTTTGATAGTTTTGCTACAACTTATTAACCATGACACCTTGCGAAACCCGAACTCTATTCGTGACTCCAACTTCTACCACATCTTAACTTTTCTCTTCCGGCATGGCCGATTCCTAATCTTTACCCTGAAACAATCTATAGGATAAGTAAGGGTTAGGCCGTTAGCAGTGTTTCTTTCAGACTTTTTTCTGCTTACAAGAAAATGTAGGGGAGTTCACGACAACTATATTAGTATCACAGCTAACAACACATCTCATATAAACTATAATAAGCTACTACTTCAAGGTTTATTAGTAAGGTTATGTTATGGGGAAAACATCGAAAATACACAAATAATTATATGTGTGTATGGTAAATCAGCATTCAATCTTTGTTCATAAATTTTACTGAAATAGATATCGAACTCTTTAAAACGAACACAGGCGCCATAGTTCTCAAGGGTGAGCATTGGGCGCCAAATAGTACCCTGATAGGACACCTCCACTCGGAAATTAAGTTGTTTTCCGCAGTAGCATTCGCAACAAGTCCCCAATGTTCCATGGCAATTGAATGAAAGGTGTAGTGAAACGTTAAGGAAAAACAGAAACATACTTTCAAATATATATATATATATATATATATATATATATATATATATATATATATATATATATATATATATATA